CAGATTTCTTTTGGCAGAGTTTTTTTTCTAGATTAGATTAGAGTTCATTTCCACAGATGTCTGAAAGGTTCAGCCTCAGTTGGTCAGTAGATCACAAAAGTAAAGAATGAGCTGAAAACACTTCTATTGAAGACCCAGCTTTCTGAGATGAGAAAAATTCCAGGGCTTTCTGCTTTAACCTCCTTTGAAATTGTTTACATACACCAGGGGACCCCAAATGTGGCAACTTTAAGACTTGTGGACTTCAACTCCCAGAATTCTCCAGCCAGCTTTGCTTGCTGAGGAACTTTGGGAGTTGAAGTCTACAAGTCTTAAAGTTGCCAAGTTTGGAGACTTCTGATATACACCTTATCATGGTATCCAGGTTAGGCAAAGTGTCATTTCCCCTTTTTCTCAAAACGAAGATATAGGAGGGGATACAGATGTGCTAAATGTAGTGTTGAATTTGGTCTGTAGATTTCTCTTGGTACTTAATTTCTGAGTGTTCTTTGGTTTATGGTCCTATTAATACATAAAGTGTTTAAGCTGTAATAGAAGGGCCTAAGTGTAACTTGACACATTAAAGAGGTTTGGCAGTACATGCAGATAGGGTTGCTGGGAAGACACATTCTTTAATATGGATCAGAAGATTTAGAATACTTACCCAGAGTTGTTCATTATTGTTGTTATTGCCCAGAATCTTTTGAAACAGGGCAAACTTGTTTAAACAGTAATAATTATTGGTTCATGTTTATATTTTTTTAAAAAACAATTCAAAGTGAGTTTTTATCTTAGATTGTAAGCAATTACTAGAAGAGAGGAAAAAGATAGCTGATGTTATATATTTTTTTGCTCATTTATTAGTTAGTGGGTTTATTGTGATAACTGTGCTATACAGAGCCGTTGGAAAAACAAGCTTTGCAGAGCATGGCAATGCAATTGAGCAGTTTTATTCCAGCATTAACACAGCTGTATCTTTACACACTTTATATGCTGCTTTAAAAATTGTCTCTGGTTTCCTTTTCTTATATATACATGGACGTGCACAGCTAATTCACTTGCCTGGGAGTCCTTGTGGAAGGGTTATTTTGCACCCGGGACACAGTTGTGGAGATAACCAAGAAAAGTTACTAAACATCATATGAAGCTTTAAAAGGATGCAGGTGCTTTAATGCTTCAAAAAGAGGTGCCTTTTGAAAGAGCCCATTTGAATGCTTTGCACAACTTTAGGCATTTGCTTTTTGTATACATTAGGTTTTACTGAGTAACTTTGCAGGGAAAAAAAATGTGCCAGAGACGCTCTGATAAAGGAACATAGTGCTGCCTTTTTGTGAATGTGAACCAGGATTTTTAAGCCCTAGTCAACCCTATCAACCATAGTGATTTGGTTTACAAATTCTGTAATGTTGAAACCTAAAGCAAGGATGGGCAACTGTTTGATAGCTGCAGGCCACATATTTCAGAGAAGTCTGACACCCATCGTGGGTGGGATCATTACACAGATGGAGAACTTAAAAGATTTTTGCTTTTATCTTCCAGAGATTGGGGGGGGGAGTGGCTAGAGCTTTCTAAAGTTTCTCCGAGACTAATTTTTTATATTTTTTATTGTTATATTTTATTGGTTTGTCAAACATGTACAAGATAACAAGTATAGGTATAAACATAAACATGAACAAAGGAAGTAAATACAGATAATTGGGGACATTTTAAGACCTATAATATAGTTTTCACATGTTTCCTGACTCAGAATGCTAGAAAACCACAGATTTTCAGTGCTTGTCAGAGATGGCTCTATAGTCCTCAACCTAGGGTCATCCAGAAAGTTATGAGGTACCCAAGCAGTTGAAGCCTCACCCTTTTTGTATGTGAATATATGACACATGTAACAAAGGGATCAGATTTTGCACTGTTGCAGACATCTTGACTTTTTTTGACCCTTTCCCACATCCTAGGCTCAAGCAGCCCTCCTGTTGCAGATTTCCCACCTTTGCTGCAAAAGCCAGTTTGAGCTTTGTGCTAGAGTAAAGCCAAAATGCGTTATGGTATGATGAATAAAAACATCAAGGCTTACTTCTACTTCATAAAGTCCCTTCATGTGTGTGTGTGTGTGTGTGTGTGTGTGTGTGTATGTGTGTGTGTGAAAAAATCATCTGCCTCAATACCTTGATGCCTTTAAAGAGGGAAAGGGACAATGGAAAGGTAGTGCTTGAGGAATTTATTCAACCCAGCTGCACTTCTATGTCTGGACAATGGGCAGTAGCTAATCTGTCATGTAATTAGTCTAGGATTTGTTTCAGGAAGTGGGTGGGATATGCAGCGTGGGTAACTCGTTTTCAAAGCATATTAAGTGGGTAGATTTGGATTGCTGGCTTTGTAATGTATATAATCTTTGGTTTTTCAACTGGCACATATTGCGAGTCAAAAGGGAATTTGGTCCAGAACAAATAACAACCCCATCATTTGTGGAAGTTTCTCTGCCTGGGAGGCTCAATGAATCCTCTGCTATTTTAATGTATTCCTTAAATATGGTATTAAAAAAAAATTGCCTCATGATGTTAGGGGCTATATGTAGATATATATTGTAATAGTTCTGTAGCTATAGTTAAGCGTTATGTCTGAAGATAAACTGACGTCAAAGATCGGTCATAACCCATATAAAACTGTAATTTGAAGTTGGTTTGTAAATCGTAATTGCTCTGACCAAAATTAAGCAGCACTAACCCACATTTATGCCAACACCTTCTTTTCTTGTACATTCCTTAAGAAGGTTTTGCTGGTGGTTTATTATATGAATGCTTCTGGATAGAATTTATAATGTCTAGCTTAATGAAAAGAAGGATTAGGGGTGACATGATGGTTGTGTTCCAATATCTAAGGAGTGCTATGAAGAAGAAGGACATTCTCCAAGATAGGACAAGACGCAATGGATGGAAGCTAATCCAGGAGGGAACTAACCTAGAACTAAGGAAAGATTTCCTGATAGAACAATTAATCAGTGGAATATCTTGTCTCCAGAAGTTGTGAATGCTCCAACAGAGGAAGTTTTAAAGAAGCGATTGGATAACAATTTTTTTGAAATGGTATAGAATTTGCCGCCTGAGCAGAGGGGGCTGGACTAGAAGATCTCCAAGGTCCCTTCCAACTCTGTTATTCTGTATTCTGTAATCCCTGTCATCCTCCTCTTGTGATGTATAATCAAAGTTGGCTATATGCAAATCCTATCTTCACAGTATTTCTTTGTACCTTTTTCTTCTTTGTCCTGCCTCAGGTTGTGGAAACAGCTCTTCTTGGAATGCCACAAAACAGCAGTTCTCAGACGTTTTGGTTTTAAGACCTTTTACATCCTGAGGGGTCCTGGGTAGTCTCTAACGAGGTTGTTTTTTTTGTAGACATTTCATTACCCAAATTAGGTAACATCATCATGACTAGCACTGATGATCTATCTAGTTTGGATAACTAACTATCTGTAAGGAATCTACCTTACAAACAAAGCTGAAAGGGGCGTGTTGGCTCAGCGGCTAAGACACTGAGCTTGTCAATCAGAAAAGATGGTAGTTCAGTGGTTCGAATCCCTAGCACTGCGTAACAGAGTGAGCTCCCATTACTTGTCCCAGCTTCTGCCAACCTAGCAGTTTGGAAGCACGTAAAATTGCAAGTAGAAGGTAAAACAAGGTAAATTGCAAGTAGAAGGTAAAATTGGTGGGAAGGTAACGGCGATCCGTGCGCTTTCAGCGTTTAGTCATGCCTGCCACATGACCATGGAGACGTCTTAGAACAGCGCTGGCTCTTCAGAGATGAGCACCGCCCCCTAGAGCTGGAAATGACTAGCACATATGTGCGAGGGGAACCTTTACCTTTAAGGAAACAACCAAGTTCAGAGAACTCGAAATATCTCTCATTTCAACCTTGAGCTACAAATATTCTCCTTTATTGGTACTTTTACATTCTTAAAATTAATTGAGGGTCTCCAAAAACTTTTGCTTTTTTTTGTGAGTTGTATCTATCAATGTTTATCGTATTAGAAATTAAAATGAACTATGGAACTAAAAGGGAAAGCTGACTTGGAATGCAATGCAATATGGCAAACATGGTATTTGTGGATTGACAATAGACATAAGAATAGAAAATGTAAATAATGTATATAATAGTTATGAGGGTATGGAAGTAGTGTGTATTGAAAGATTGGATAGGATATATAAATGTCTGTGTGTGTGTGTGTATAGATAGATAGATAGATAGATAGATAGATAGATAGATAGATAGATATAGATATATATAGATATATAGTCACGGTACCGTTTAATTAGTAATGGTATAAATATAAATGGTATAAATGAAAAAAAAATGCAATAAAGTATTGGGGAGAAAAAAAGAAATTAAAATGGAGAAATGTTCTTTGACTTCCTGAAAGGGTACCAGGGATCAGCAGAATGACTACTGTAGAGTCTACATAGAAGTAGATGTTTTAGCTCCGCGCATATTTTCAATACAGAACCTCATAAGCTCAGAGATCGAAACTATAGACCAAAATAAGATGTGGAGTAAGAAGCAGGAAAAGAAGTACACTTTTGTTTTGGAAGTAGACTTTTCTTTGATAATTGTGGGGTTTTGCATTATTGCTTTCATTTTGGAGGAAGAGGTAAAGAGGCTTAATTCTTCCACAGAGAGAAAACTTCTAGATAATGCATTGTAGATTTTCTAATGGTGGATGAATGATACAAACATTGATAGAGCTCACAAAGCATTGTTTTAAAAGCCTTCCTTAAAAACAGAATTCCTAATCTTTATTTTGCTAGAAACATGAAATCTCTGCTTAATGAAATTAAGGATGTGATAAAAAGCAGGACATATGGTCTTATTACTCAGAGTGGACCTTTCTGGGCCCTTCCCTCTGTTTAGCAGATAGAAGCTGAGTGGGTTGGTTTTTTTTTAATGCCAATGACAGGATGTTGAATGTAGATATAAATTCATCTATGCCTATTTAGTAAACTTTCCCACCCTCCCACCTTTCCTTTCTCTAGATTAGTTATGCTTATGGAATAAAAGAAGCAATTATTGATGAGCAGAATAGTGGACCGGAAGATAGGCAGACTGGAACGGATCAGCTGCCGGGGGAACCCCTGGACGAACTGGAAGCATGGAGGAGGGGATTAATGGAAAGATGAACCAGGCCCATGTCCTCTTTGACCGATTTGTCCAGGCTTCGACCTGCAAAGGGACTCTGAAAGCCTTTCAAGAGCTCTGTGATTATTTGGAGCTGAAGCCCAAGGATTACCGCACTTTCTACCACAAGCTGAAATCCAAGCTGAGTTATTGGAAAGCTAAAGCTCTTTGGGCCAAGTTGGATAAGAGGGGCGGCCACAAAGACTATAAGAAGGGGAAAGTGTGCGCCAACACGAAGGTGAGCATGGAAAAACGGCTTACATTTCTTTGAGTCCTACTTGTGAGAATGGCTTCCATACGCTATACTAATTATGTGTGGACGAACTGAAGCAACAAACCTTAGTTTCCGACATCATGGGTCCATCCTTTACTAATTTGAGCTTGACTATGTTCTGTGTCAGCTGAGATGGGGATAATGCTTGTGTAATGTTTAGATTAAATTGAATCTTTGGAAGGCATCTTTAAAAAAGAAAAACCCTGATGGCTTATGCTAGCTTGTGCTGTTTGTTCATGTTGGTTTGGGTTCCATTAACAGCCCGAAATCAGCTGATACATATTGCTCTTCATTGGCAGTTACTCATGGTTTTGCTTATATGTGAACAGGTGAAATAATAATTACAAATGGTGGTTTGTTCCTATTGCATCTATTCCAAGGGTCTTCAAACTTGGCAAGTTTAAGACTTGTGAACTTCAACTCCCAGAATTCCTGAGCAACAAGACTGGAGGAGGAATTCTGGGAGCTGAAGTCCACAAGTCTTAAAGCTGTCAAGTTTGAAGACCCCTGATCTATTCTGTCATTTAAAATGTTGGTTGGCTCCCAAAATGGTTGCTGCTCTAAGCCAGTGTTTGCTTAGATCAGTTTCTCAATTCAAGTGACTTTAAAATGGTTGGACTTCAGCTCCCAGAATTCCTCAGCTAGCATGCTAATTGGAGAATTCTGGGTGTTGAGATCCAACCATCTTTAAGTTGCTGAGGTTAAGAAGAACTGGTTTACAGCAGTGAATGTCAATCCCCATTGAATGTCCTACAAATTCCGTTATTTCTTTTCTTTTTTTTAAAGTTCATTACTAATTCCTGTTTCATTTTGACTTCATTTTAATCAGTGAAAACGGTGTTTACATTTTCAGGAAAAAAAAATTGGGAGAAGATGAGCCGTTTAGCGATATGTTAGACAAGAAAATGTTTATTTTTAATTTTCTAGTTGGATTTTGATCTTAACAAGGCTCTCTTGAATAATCAAATAACCAGTTTTATGTAAAATAGGATAAAGTTAAGTTATTCTTTGAAAGCGTCAATTAAACTTAAATGCCTGTCTTTCCTGAACTCAACTCCCACTTCTGTCAGCACATCTTCTAGTAATTTTTCAGGGTTCTGTAAAACAGAGTCATATTTAAACAATGATTCACTTGAGCGTGTAGCCTGGCTTGTACCAGCGATGAGTAGAGAAATGGTCAGCAGCTGTGTTTGCTTCTATTCCTTATGCGCAGTTACGACAGGTTCCTAAGCTGTGTACAGTTCACTGTGTGCTTTGGAGACCATCTGCGCATCGTTTCTCAGTATTCAACCTTTAGCCTTATGGTTTCTGTTCTGGCTGCCTGGTAACTTAATGAGGCATATCCAAATATGTCTCTAAATGGAACGAATCAACAATCATGATCCTCCAATAAAGAAGACAAATGTTTCCTTCCAAAAAAATACAGATAAAGAGGAATGAAGAAGTTCTCTTACATTTTAATGATAAGAAGAGAAGTAGCTATTGAAGACAAAGGGACGGGGTAGGAGATAAAAAGAACTGTAAACACGACTGCTATGAAGCATAGTGCCTTTGAAGATTAGGCTAAAAATCAACTGAAGGGGGTATTTTCTTGTAGTTTCCAGATCTTTTTCCTATCTCTTCTGTGTTATTGTTCTCTCCTGTGGCATTTTTTTAATAGAATCATAAAGTTGGAAGGAATCTTAGAGGTCTTCTAATCCAATCTCCATTGCATTCAGTTATGTTCCTCTTCTAGTCCTGGGGCAGTACACCCTGTTGGCTTATTCCCCCCCCCTTTTTAAAAAAACAACAACCACTATTTCTGCTAAATTAGGGGTCTCTAAAGTTGACAACTTTAAGGCTTTTGTGGATTTCAACTCACAAAGTTCCTCAGCCAACCGTCTGAGGAATTCTGGGAGTTGAAGTCAAGAAGTCTTAAAGTTGCCAACTTTGGAGACCCCCTGTGCTAAATGATGTCGGGAAGGGTTTTCTGGGGCGTCTGTATCATATGTTTCTGAAAATATTTTGTGTGTGCCAAAAGAAATGGTCTGTGCAGATGGAGGTCAATTTATTGTGTAAATGTGGTGTCTTGATTTACTGTCCATTAATTGTAATTCTTCAGTTTTCTTTTATATCCCAGGTGGTCCTTGTTTGTTTAAAGAACATGAGTTCTCTATATTTACACACATTGAGGGGGTTGGATGGAAAAATCCCCAGGTCTGATATCAGATTAAAATCAGTAACCCAAGTTGGTTGCCAAGATAACTAAGCAAAACACGGGACTTTTCTGCGTGTTTTTAATTCATTTTGATTTCTCTGTCTAACCTTCCTTCCATGGGATCATCTTAAATTTAGGGCCATTTTTTATTATATGCAATATTACCTCTGTAACATTGAGCAATGATTGGTCCTACTGCACCAAAGGTGCTTTTTCAAGAGACAACTGGACTTTCTGGTTTTTCTTTGAAGATGTTTAGCTTCTCATCCAAGAAGCTTCTTCAGCTCTCTTGGATGAGAAGCGAAATGTCTTCAAAGAAAAACAAAGGAAGTCTAGTTGCCTCTTGAAAAAGAACCTTTGGTGTAAACATGACCTGGATGACTGAGAATCTCCATAAACATTGGTTTATGTGGATATTTGCTGTGATATGTCAGATGTCTCTGTTGTCTTGGATAAACATCTCCCACCAATTTTATTTTATTCCAGTAACACTAAGAGGCAAAAGAGGATAAGAGAGTAAAAGGGAAATTCTAAGCTTCACATCTATAATGTGATATGCATATGCAGCAGAAAGAGGGCTCTGAGATAATTGAATAAATTGTTGTTATAAGCAGTCCTTGATTTAGGACCACAATTGAAAGCCAAATTTCTGTGGCTAAACAAGACTCCTGTTAAATGAATTTTGCCCCATTTTGCGACCTTTGTTGCCACTGTTGTTAGGTGAATCACCGAAGTTGTTAAGTTAGCAACGTAATTATTAACTGAACCTGGCTTCCTAGCTGACTTTGCTTGTCAGAAGGTCGCAAAAGGCGATCAAATGATGTCACATGGGACACCGCAACCATCATAAAGATGAGTCGGTTGCCAAGCGTCTGAATTTTGGTCATGTGACATGGGAATGCTGCAATGGTGGTAAGTAAAAAGGGGATTATAAGTCACATTTTCCAGTGCCATTGTAACTTCACAAATGGTCACTAAATGAATGGTTGTAAGTCAAGGACTATCTCTACTTCTGGCTACAGATGTGGGTTGCCCTTAATACTTTTGTAAAATTAAAACTCCCCTGCAAATAAAAACTAACAGATTTAAAAGATTAATAGAGTTGGAAGGGATGTTGTAGGTCTTCTTGTCCAATCCACCACCAAGCAAGAGATGTTGCCTACACCATTTCTGATAGATGTCCACTCTCTTCTTGAAAGCCTCCAGTGATGAAGCTCCCACAACTTCTCAAGGCAAGCTATTCCATTGATTCATGGTTCTCACTGTCAGACTAGTGCAACTAAGACTGGACTTAGAATCTTTCTCCATAATTTGCTCCCCCCTCTATATTTTCAGTCACTGATCTGGCTAAGGGGAGTCATTCCAGAGCTATGTGACATCTGAAATTATATGTTGTGCTCTATCACATTGCACAGCTGTATGCCCCTGTTTGACTTATTGGAGGGTGTAATTGGAGCTTCTGGACAGCTGCAGGTGGCTAACCAGATGTTGTCACTGGAAAGAGCAGAGCTAAAATGTTTTAACTTAGTTAGAAAGCGGGGGGGAGGGGATGCCTTTGAGAAGCAAGCTAACTTGGTGGTCTTGCTGAATTTTGAGATGTTGTGGGACACAGATGGATGCTTCATTTGGCCCACAAGCTACAAGTTTCCTGTTGTTGTAATTCAGCCATCCTTGGCTTGGTTCGGTTTTAATTGTGGTGCCTTGGAACTTGCTTGAAATCTTATTAGAGGGTCTCACTGGAAGCTGCAGGATTGCTGTAAAGGAAGATATAAGTACAACTCAGGCAATAATAAGTTTCGAGGCCTCGGCCATTGAGCCGTATTTCTCCCAAAATACCCTGATGTCTGGAAGTCCAGTAACCGTTTATTTGGAATCCCATCTGTTTCTATGCCAAATGGATTACATGTTGTAGGACTGCATTATTTTGGCAAAGCAGTTGACACACACAGGTAGCACTAACTTTTTCTAACTTAGCTAATCCATGCTGCAGTGGGAATTGTGGTCTGAAATCCTGGGATTTCTTGATACAGGTAAACGAAGCTTTTAAAATTACTTTGTTGTTATTGTAAGTTGTTTGCACTGAAGCAATGACACTGTTTTGCAACAATAAGTCTGGAAAGCTTATTTTAAGATACAAATATTCTTCACTAACTGCTTCAACACCTTCCTAGTTTCTGGTGCATCGAAAGTTTGTTTGTGTCTGAATAATAATGCTGATTCTTCCCTTCTCTTCTAGTGTCTCATTATTGGGGCTGGACCCTGTGGCCTTCGGACAGCCATTGATCTCTCCTTTTTAGGAGCAAAGGTGGTGGTGATAGAAAAACGTGATGCCTTCTCCCGCAACAATGTCCTGCATCTGTGGCCATTCACTATTCATGACTTGAGAGGTCTTGGCGCCAAAAAGTTCTATGGCAAATTTTGTGCAGGAGCCATCGACCATATCAGTAAGGACTGTTTACACCTGGAAGGGATGGATAATATATGATATTACATTAGCAAAGGACAAATGGATTGTGTCGGGGTTTTCATGGACAAGGTAGACTTAAGAAAGAGATGCTAGTGTGAAAATCTAGGCATAAGTTGAGAAGAAAGCATGAGTAATTTAAAATTTGGAAGTTTATGTTTTTTACATATACCACCAGCTTTAATAAAATCTTCTTAAAAAATTGGAAATACAATTTTATCCCAGTAGTGATGGTGGGATCCAGAGGATATAAGGAGTTTTCAGCTGTCCTATCCCAAAACTCATTTGGGTTCTCATTCTCTAGCCCCCTGCTTTGCATTGGGATAGCAGCTGGGTGTTTCCTGCTGCTATTATCCAGAGAGCATTTCATTTGGCATCCATAATCTCAGTGGAAGAGAGTGGAACATGATCTTATACCCTGTGTTGGTGATTAAAAGGTAAAAATACCAAAGATGAAATAATTTCTACCTGGTTATATATCATAGAGATGTGGTATCTAGAAGATTCCCCTTTACCTCAATTGATCCCACAGTAAATGAAGAAAATCAAGCTCTTATGAAGTAAAATGAAAAATCTTTTTCCCCCCCATGAGCTGTTCAGAGCATCCAGAAGTGGGAGGTGCTTCAGTCTCTTCTGTTTGTCTCTTCTCGACTTGACGTTCGAAGGGCATTAAGCATCTATCTAGACCATACAGCGGCTTTTCCAAAATCTGAGACTCTATTCCTATCCCTCAACCCACCCACTTTAGGACACAAGGTGTCGTCGACGACCATCGGTAAATGGATGAGAGCCACCATAGCTAAAAGTTACAAATGCCAGTCCATCTCAGTTCCTAAGGGCATTACAGCCCACTCAACAAGGAGTGCGGCAACATCAGCAGCATGGGCCACACGGGCTTCCATAGACGAAATTTGCAGAGCGGCAACTTGGGCTTCACCATCTCCCTTTGTCAGAAATTATAAAATTGATGTCTATGCCTCAGTCAACGCTTCATTTGGCAGAAGAGTCCTGCAGCAGGTCCACAGAGTTTAGGAGCGGATTTTGATCCAGACGGAGTCCCTCCCTAAGGACAGGCCAAGCTTTGGTATGTCCCACTTCTGGATGCTCTGAACAGCTCATGGGAGAAAGGGCATTGGTACTTACCTGATTCACCCGTTCTCTGTGAGCTATGAAGAGCATCCAGCCCCACCCATTTCTTTCCATCTGGTGGGGTTCCGTTCCAGTCAGGGATCTAGATTAGGTGATGAGTTCTGGACTTTGGCACTCAGTCTTCACAAAACTGGGGGGTGTTGGGGAGGTGTCCCGTGGAGGAGGAGGAGCGTCCTGGAGTTTTAAGCCCAGCCTTTCCAGAGAGACTGAAGCACCTCCCACTTCTGGATGCTCTTCACAGCTCACAGAGAGTACCAACGCCCTTTTTCTTGCAAGCATTCAAATGATAACATTCAGTATGGGAAAAGATAAATTCAGAAAACCCCAGTTCTTACTAATGCAGCACCTTTCAAATTCACTAAGAAAGAATATTCCAGAACATAATGGAATATTCTGAACAGACCAGCAGGTGGTGGTATCTGCCACAAAAATTGAGGACTGTAAAGTTCTTTTTTAAAAAAGTTATATCTTCATCACTATAACCTGAAGTATAAATGAGAGTTGAAATTAAACATCCATGTCTAGAATGTTTACAGGGGCAAAGAAAATTAGGATTAGTACAGTGCAGAAAACAGAAAGCACAAATTCTGTGTTTATCTGTTTACCAGAAGTAGCAAGTTTCCTGAAGTAAAAGGTTCTCCGCTTCAGCTTCTTGGAGATCCCAAGTATTCATCGAAAGCTGCTGGGAACAATGGAAATTAATATTTGAACTTTTCTGTATCCAGAATTTGGAGGGTGTGGGTACTCTGACTCCAAATTAATCCATGTATGTATCAAAGAACACCCATCACTTTTAGAGATGTGGATTCTTAGCATGTACAATTACATGCAAATTACATTCATAGCAAACTCTTGTTAATAACAGATCCAGTGTGATGCTTTTAGACTGAAATGGAGCTGTAATCTGTATATGACAAAAGTTAATGAAATTTAAAACATTCCATGGACAAATCTCTTATTTTGTTAGTTGTTACTACCTGAAAGAAAGTCCTAAAAGTGCCGTAGGCAGCTTAGTTGTTCAAGAAGGAAATCTACACAATAATTTTATCCTGACTATCATGATTAAATGGAACAGAGCTTGGAATAATTTTGTTTTGTCTGATTTATGGCCAGTTCCATTTGGAACTTACTTTGGAAAGTTCTTCTTTCCAAAGTAAAAGTAACAAAGTTAAAAAAAAAAGCATTTTCAGGTGCTTTTAATCATTTTGTTGGCTAGGTTACATTTTAAATGACAAGCTCTTGTACAGATCTTTGAAAGGTGCAACTGTTGCATAAATTGTGAGGAATGTGTTGTCTTTATTATTATTTATGCTTCTGTTTCTCAGGTATTCGTCAGCTTCAGCTGATACTCTTGAAGGTCTCCTTAATTCTCGGTGTGGAGATCCATGTCAATGTAGAATTTCAGGGTCTTCTCTGTCCTCCTGAGGACCAGGAGAATGAAAGTAAGTAGCGTTGGCATTTATAGCAGATTCGGGGTGAAATTCTTGCTCTTTATACAATATCGCAGCAATTGCTTTTGTACAGGTAGTCCTTGACTTACGACCACAATTGAGCCTAAAATTTATGTTGCTAAGTGAGAAATTTGCTAAGTGAATTTTGCTCCATTTTATGACTTCCCTTGTCATGTTTGTTGTTGAGTGGATCACTGCAGTTGTTAAATTAGTAACACACTTGTTAAGCAAATCTGGCTTCCCCATTTGACTGTCAGAGGGTTGCAAAAGGGGATCAGATGAGCCCAGGACACACTTTGAATAGTAACTAAATGTTGTAAGTTGAGGATTACCTGTATAAGGCAGCATAATGGCTCAGCGGTTAAGATGTTGGGCTTGTCGGCTGGAAAGAGACCAGAGTGTTGCTCAACAGGGTGAGCTCCCATCTGCACCCTAACTCCTCCCAACCTAGCAGTTTGAAAGCATGCAAATGTGAGTAGATAAATAGGTACCACTTCGGTGGGAAGGAAACAGTGCTCCGTAACAACATGCTGGCCACATGGCTGCAGAAACATCTTCAGACAATGCTGGCTCAAACGCCCTTGAAACAGAGATGAGCACTGCCCCCTATCGTCAGCAATGGCTAGCGGAGTAAAATCCACAAAATCTACTCTTGTATAATCAGACCATCATGAATAGTGTGTCAGGGCTTCGGTAGTTACCCCCATTTCAATCATGAGTCTCTAGCCGGATTTTCAAAGGTTAAAGAAGATTTATTAGGAGTAAACATTCTGATGCTACCTGGGTGTAGCCGACTCTGAGATACATCATTCATTATCACCCTTGACCCTGGTTTCCCCCCACCCCCTGGGTATATCATAATTCATATTCTCCAATGGGACACATCCATAGCCAAGAGTCATCAATCATACTCTCTAGTTAGAATTTTGCGCAGCAGAAATTTCAGTCACCTAGAAACTATCTATGAAAACATTTATGGAATGCAGTTTGCAAGCTGCTGGACTGCTTCTCCCTCCCTTTCTGCTGGCAACTCTAAAAGACCAGAGAAATATTTTATGAGTCAGCATAGTGACTGTATGTGGCTAATCCACTTTACAGATATAAAGAGACGTTTAACTTCCCACGCTGGTACTGAAAGGCCCAGTTACATATTGCTTGAGTGTTCAGTCCATTCATGTACATCCATTTCTGTACATTCTGTTTTAATATATAATTTATCCACAGGGATAGGTTGGCGTGCACAAGTCTATCCAAAAACACATCCTGTATCAGAGTACGAGTTTGATGTGATAATTGGAGGGGATGGAAGGCGAAATACTTTGGAAGGTAACCGTTGCTTACGTTTATGCTGATGTGTAGGGCATGCCTGCAATCCAACTATTGCCAGGTTAGCCCTACTGGCTGAGGATGATGGAAAAAGATGTCCATCACAGAGAGAAGACTTCTGTAGCCTCTGCTTATTACTACATTTTGCTGTTTTTCTTGTGGCTCTTTATTCAGGGAGACATTTTAATGAGAATAAATTATATTAGATATGTCAATTGTGTGTTCAAGCACCTTGTTTGCATATAAGAGATTCCTTATTAAGTTCTTTTCCAGTTTTATGTCCTAGATAATGGAGCTGGGAAAAGAGTTTTCAGCTAAGATCTTCCAGAATTATTATCAGGCAGAGTTGAGAAAGGCCAGACAAAGTGATGACTTAATTAAGTGTGGAATTGTTTGGATTGTATTTTTTCTTCAGTGTTTCACTGAAGAAAAATTCCATAGCTCTTTGTGTATTACTTTGTACATGTATTGTCAGTACAGTTTCATTTGGAGGGGAGAAAATTAAATACATGGTTGGTTAATGTAGATGTAGAACTAGAGTTAGCCTGTGTATTCTTCAAACTTATTTTTTTCTCAGGCAGTTGATTTGAAAATTGAGGCCTGTTTTGTCACTGTGTATTTTTTCTGTAGGGTTTCGGCGAAAAGAGTTTCGTGGGAAGTTGGCAATCGCCATTACGGCAAACTTTATCAACCGGAATACCACAGCTGAGGCCAAGGTTGAAGAGATCAGTGGCGTGGCTTTCATTTTCAACCAGAAGTTTTTCCAAGATCTTCGAGAAGCAACTGGTTTGTAGAAGTGATTGATAGCTGAAAATAAGCAACATTCTCTTTGATCCAAAGATGCTCTTAGCCCATAGGTGTCAAACTTGCTGCGTCATGTTGCTGTCACGTGATGTTTTGCGATGTTTCCTCCCCTTTGCGGAGCTGGGGTGGGCGTGGCCTGCACATGATGCATCCGGGCTGCTGGTCCCCCGTTTGACACTTCTGTCCTAGCCTATGAATACTGAGTTTTACAGTTTGCATGCAGAGAAGATGAACTAAAAGAAGGGTGTACATACTGCAGCTTCTACAGTATGTTTTCTTTGTGTATTCACGGCAACCAGTTCTTCGCAAACTAGAATAGTTTTCCCAGCACGCAAAGCAGCTTTCTGGCCTCGACTTCCAAAGCAATTGGACAAAGCCTGGAAGAAGATGGTTCTGCTTTGACCTTTTAAAAGAAGGTGCTTCCTAATTTGTGCTTTCAGAAGCTCTTCTTTTGAAGGACAGCCAGGAACTAATAATCAGTGTCATAATAATGAATCATCCAAAATTGCTTTGGAAGGAATTTTAAAGAGAAACCTGACCTTGTGAGTTATATTCAAAGTGATATGTTGAACCTGAGTGAACAAACATGCTAAGTTGATATGCATTTCTACTATTGGTGGCAATGTTTGACTCATTTTGCTGATTTGGGCTCAAGCATTTATGGTCCTGTTCTTTGACTCTTGGTCTTTCTCGATTCCATTTTAGGCATTGATCTAGAGAACATTGTCTACTACAAAGATGATACCCACTATTTTGTCATGACTGCCAAAAAACAGAGCTTGCTGGACAAAGGAGTCATATTACATGTAAGTGTGCTCATTGAAATCTCAGTTTTTCCTGGGTGAGGAGGCCATTGGCCTTCTTAAAAAAGGTTAAGGGATCATAATATTAGTTTTCATTGCCCTATAATCTTTCAAAACAGATTGTAATGGACAATTATCCATCTTTCTTGTCTGCTGAAGGAAATTTGCCTTGCAGCAGGGAGGAATATGTGGATAACATCCTTTTATTTTAAGATAGTCATTATGAAATCAATTGTCCTGGGTAACTATTTCCTTTTAATTTACTCAGAACAATAGAATTTTAATGCAATCTTAGTTGGTTGCCAACTTTTTCAAAGTAAGGAGAACTTTTTCCTGCATAAGTTTCAAACAAGGAATTGCGTTCATTTTTCTTTCTCTGGAGAGACATACAGATTTGTTTTAGGTCACAAAATAATCACAATAGGGAACAATTGAGACAAAGATAAAAGAAAATGCAGCTACTTCTACTCATGTTCCCCAGCAATTGAGGCATTTCATATTTTTGTATGAATGTGAAATGCTGTGCAAATCAAACTGACAGTTCAATGAAAAATATGAATGCTGAAGGCAATCCATTTGCAGAGAAACATCAAATCCATCTCAAATGTCAATATATTGTGCTACAAATAATCAACCCATCCAGTCAGATTTTGCATGATCTCCTTTGTACTGGGCCATCTTCTATCTATGTGCGTTATTGATGTGGGCAGACTTGGGACCAGTCCTCAACTTACAACCACAATTGAGCCCAAAATTTCCATTGCTAAGCAACAGTTGTTAAGTGAGTTGTATCCCATTTCACAACCTTTTTTTTTGCCCCAGTTGTTAAAGTGAATCACTGCTGTTGTTGAACAAATCATGCAGTTGTTAAGAGAATCTGGCTTGTTGGTAGCCAGCTGGGAAGGTTACAAATAGTGTTCATATGACCCCAGGACAGTGCAACTGTCATAAATACATGCCAGTTGCCAAGCATCCTGATTTTGATCACATGACTACAACACATGATAACACTGCTACAACAGTCATAAGTGTGAAAAACAGTTAGAAGTCACTAACCATTTTTTTTCACTGCAATTGTAACTTCAAACAGTCACTAAGTGTATGGTTATAAGTCGAGGACTATCCATCATTCAGTACGTAGTTCCTGGACTGAATCTTCAGTACAAACATAGCTCATGGTTCATTTGTCAACCCTGAACCTGACATGACCGAAGCCATTTTGGAACTTCAGTGTTGCCACACTGGAGCTGAGAGATAGGGAGAGGGAAATAGTGATAGCGGGGGATTTTAGCCAAAACAAAATACTTTCTCTTGAGAACCAAGGACATTCTTACACTTGGTCAGAGGAAGGAGGAGTGATGTCACCAGGAAACCAGACTGCATCTTGATTGGACCATGTGACTGTTTGGGAGGGGGATAACCAGTTTTCACCTTTTAATTAGGTGAAAACTGTGGAAACTTTCAGAGTCTGTTTCACTGTGCCAATCTGATATATCCAATAAAACTTTCTTTGAAGAATTTACCTGCCTAGAACTTTTTTGCTATGGGTGTATTACTTGGAACCCTGACGTCATTTTTATTTTGCCTGGCAGGATTATGCAGACACAGAACTGTTACTGTCACGAGAGAATGTGGACCAGGAGGCTCTGCTCAGCTACGCCAGGGAAGCTGCTGACTTCTCAACTAATCAGCAGCTGCCATCGCTGAACTTTGCCATCAACCACTATGGACAGCCCGATGTTGCAATGTTTGACTTCACGTGCATGTATGCCTCAGAGAACGCAGCCATGGTTCGGGAATTGAATGGCCACCCGTTGCTTGTGGCATTGGTCGGGGACAGTTTGTTAGAGGTTTGTTCTCCTTGAACCATTTATTTTTTCTTGTTCTATTTCTTTTTTTTTTCCTTTTAATATTTATTCTCACTGTAGGCTAAAATGGTAAACAGGTAAACATTTCAAAGTACCATCATATGGGCATTTCTGAGGAGAAACGTGTAGATCATTTGCTGAAGGAAGCAATTTCCATTTGCTAAAATGGAAGCAAGCTTGAGTTTTATTCAAGGTTTCCAGCCTAGGATTTTTTTTAAATGTAGAAAGTAATATTTTTAAGGGGTGAAAATGAAAGTGAGTGTAGAGATAGTTTCCACTATTCTTCTGTATGTCTAGCTTAGTCGTTCTGCTTCTCTAAAATCCTTTTTACATAAGAAATACAGATAGTCTTTGACCTAACGACCACAGTTGGGACTGAATTTCAGTTGTAAGTTGGTATGGTTGTAAGTCATGTCACAATGTGATCAGACCCAATTTTACGACAATTATGTTTGTTAAATAAATCATATGGTTATTAAAAATCCAGCTCCCCCAGTGAACACACTAAGCTGTTTTTTTTATGCTACTGGGGTGGTGTAACAGTTTTAAGTGCAAGTACAGGTTGTGAAGCAATGTTTACAAGGCCATTGTAACTTTAAATCATCATTAATGAACAGTCATAAGTTGAGAACTATTTGTATATTATATATTTTAGCGAATTATGGTAAGTTACTCTATATAATGAAATTTCATTTTGTCCTCAAACATTAAATGAATAGCACATGTGCATTTCTGAGGTGATTTCATTGTTATATATTGAGGGTATATTTTTACTTTTCAGAGTCACAAATATCTGTGAAGATGAACAGAAATGCAATATGAACATTTCAGTTGAGATTAGAATTATTGTTGTTTTCAGAACTAATGAGTTTGGTTGCAACTCTGATTTCAGCATAAAAAGGAGTGACATGAAGAAGTCACATGAATTTCTGACATTTTAAACACAAGGCCCATTAGGATACAAGGCTCCATTAGAAGTAGTCCTTTACTTGATATTCCATCGGTATGAAAAACATGGTTATAGAGAGTCTTTAATTTGACATCCAATAATATATTGGATTTCAGAAAATTATTATAGGACTTTAATGTCAACTCAAAAATATTTCTCTGGTCTGTTAGAGTTGCCAGCAGAAAGGGAGTGGGGGAAGTAGTCCATTCCTTAAATGCTTTCATAGATAATTTCTAGGTGGCTGAAGTTTCTGGCGCGCAAGATTATTACTGGAGAGCATGATTGATGACTCTTGGCTAGGGATGTGTCCCATTAGAGAATATACATCCCGGGGGTGGGGGAAGACCAGGGTCAAGGGTGAAATGAATGATGTGTCTCAGAGTCGGCTATACCCAGGTGGCACTGGCATGTTCACTCCTAATAAATCTTCTTTAAACACTGAGAGATGCGGCTAGAGACTCATGATTTGAATGGGGTGGATGCCGGAGCCCTGACATTTAAATGATCTCTAGCAGTCCAATCAGATCTTGTCCTACAGAAGCTCCCTTGGGGTTTTAAAGTAGTTTTGCAGTATACTTGCAAAGAAAGTGTCTCAGCCATGGTTTCCCATAGAATATATGTTCCCTTGTCTTATTCCTCCCAACACGTTTTTATGGTTTCTTCCAGCCATTTTGGCCAATGGGAACTGGAATAGCCAGAGGCTTTCTTGCTGCCATGGACTCTGCCTGGATGGTACGAAGCTGGTCCTTGGGAACTGGTCCTATGGAAGTCCTAGCAGAAAGGTAACAAAATGCCCGGTTTCTCTGTATGCATGTTTATACGTGCAGGTGTATGCTGTTGTAAGCAGGAAATTTATCTGCTATTAAAATGTATCTACTGTATGTCTTAAGAGTATGCAACTTCAGGCTCATTAATGTGCAGTGTGTGTGAATTTATTAGCATCTTCCTATATGTCAATTCTATGCACTCCTATTTGTCCCTGTGCTAATCAATGTATTATCCAGAGATATTTGTCATTTTCTGTGTTCAGCTACAATAGCTTAGCAAGGAATAACACACTTTTCTCATTGTGCATGGGGTAAAAGATGGTTTAAACTAAACTATCTGAATGTAATTAGGTGGACACAGAGAAAGTTGCCTAACTATGCTTCTGATTGGCAACATTCTTAAGCCCCAAATTCAGGTTAAAAATTGTTATGTTCCCATAACATGCTAAGCCCAAAACAGACAATATAAAGTTTAATGTCATAGTTGTTTCACACAATTTGCAAAACATTATTTGGGTTACTACAATGTACGAACCACAAATTATTCAACCCTTTAAGCTTAGTTTTGTGCGTGGTGTGTATACCAACACAAATGAAACTCTCCCTGTGTTTGATGATTTTTAAAAGTGCCGTTTTAAAAAAAATGGCCGTATTAGTGAATTATATAACTCAGTTATTTAACTAACCCAATAATTTAACTCAATTAATTAACTATGTAAATAGGACACGGAAGATTTGTCTAGGCAGATTGATCAAGAAAAGTATATGACATCATAATTAAGGTTGTAGTTCATATGGGTTAGGATGGATTGAAATAAGTGAAACCTACATTTAAGTGGCATTGTTAAAAAAGTTACCAAGCATCCAAATTTGGATCATGTGACCCTGAGGATGCTGCAATGCTCCTAAGTGTGAAAAGCAGTCCTAAGTCACTTTTTTCAGTGCTGTTTTTAACTTTGAATGGTCACTAAATTAATAGTTGTAAGTTGAGGGCTACCTGCAGTTGGGACGCCATTGTACATGCCATCCACCCAGTAGAACATAGTAATTTTGCTCTAGGTGGTAAAGTGATGTCTATCAATGTCTTTTATATCACTGAACCATTGTCATATTTTTCCTAGAGAGAGCATCTATAGATTGTTGCCTCAAACTACGCCAGAAAATGTCAGCAAGAACTTCAGCCAATACAGCATTGATCCTGTCACTCGATACCCCAACATCAATATCAATTTCCTAAGGCCAAGCCAGGTAATTGGGTCTATCCTGTGGCATTCCAGGATATATGATGGACAACTTATGCAACCAGCTGAAGAAACGGCATTGAAGTAATAAAAACACAGCACTGAGTATAACACATCAGCTGCAGCAACAGAACAGAATAAATCAAAACTTGCTACAAAAGAAGTCTTGGAATCACTTTTGACTTTGAGTAGTTATGTTCATTTCTGCCCATGGAAGGATATTAAATAATAGAAACTATTGTTTTTATACATGTACAAATAATTAAGACAAAAAGTGTATTGGAAAGGGAAATAATTTCAGAATTATTTGGGCAGGGTTTTTTAAATTAATCTTTATTCAGTGAAATGTATAAACAAGTGATAGCCATTGGCTACCATAATCTAAACTTGGAGGAGGAACATCATTGGGCTTGTTAAATATTTAGATGTGAGATTTCAGTGAATCCTAGGGTGTAAAGGCAAAACGTGGAAACAGTTTGGGATGGTTTTTAACATTAATGTGCAATGTTCCAAAGCATTAAACAAGCAAGAGTCATTGGCCATTAATCTTCCTGTGCTATATTAGAAGTGAGTTTTCTGCAGATACTTAACACAGTTTGCCCACTCTTTGGCCAATGAACAATTGTTTTGTTGTTATCTTGACATTTGATGTGATACATGCACTCTTTTTGGACTGCTGCAGGTACGTCATTTGTATGATACAGGAGACTTGAAGGATATTCATCTGGAGATAGAAAATTTGGTGAATTCTAGGACACCAAAGTTATCACGGAATGGTAAGTCAGTCCATGTATTCCTTGTTACTGTCTTGTTTTTTTTCTTCCCTTCCTGGAAATTTGAAATTGGATTCCATGCCAGCTGCCATTTTAAAATAGTGCATTAAGAGAATATTGGCTGGATATTTACTTAAGCTGTGTTGTAGCCATTAGTGATCTCTTTGACCCCTCAGGCTCTTATAAATATACTTAGTATTCACTTATGTACACTTACATTTTTATGAACAGGAATGAGAATAAAAACATTTTCCTTAGAGTTCTGTGTGCATTAAAAGCAGAGAGACGGAGGGGTTTTTTGTGCTATTAAAACCGGGAAATTGGTATTCTCTGACTGATGTAACTCTTATAAACAATCTTTCCTAATGTGATGCCCTCTTAACTGTTATATTACAGCGCTCAAAATTCTTGGCCAACTTGCCCTTTAGGTCAATATATCCTTTAGTTATACAATACTAGCTTGATACCCGTGCTTCACTATAAAACTATGTGGTCGGGCTTAGTTTTTGGGGAGGAAACTAAGGGAAAAAATTGTGCCTCTGCCTTCCAGTATCCATTGGTATTCATCTGGCTAGAGTTGAGGGCTGAAACAGTATTTGCTGTGTGAGCAAGAAGGAGACAGCAAGGAGCCTGGGCGTGGCTTAGCTCAACTGTTCTGTACTAAAGCTGCTTGGTGCTGTGAAACTAAAACTGAAACTCCTTTCCTCTGCTTGTGTTTTGCATTTGGAACAGATTTCTTTTAATGTGGTGGTGTGGGGAGCAGAACTCCTTAGCATCAGAGTGTGTTAATAATAATGTAGGAAATATGAATGCTCTGATGGTCATTTCAAAAAATCCTTTCTTAGTGAGCACTGAGAAGCCAAGAGGAACCTAGGTGTCAAATTTTAAGTTTATAGGCTTTTCGTTTCTGGAGGTTTGTGATGATGCGTGAGTGGTATTTCACTTTTATATATATAGATAGACATGAAATTCTTTAATTTCTAGTTCAGAATATATGAAGAGAACCAGTCAGAATAAAATTGATTTACATTGAGGGGGGAAAGCCTATAGCTCTGGGACTTCATGTTGACTTGAGTTCCATTTTCAATGCCCAAGCTAAGCATGATTGTTGAAGGCTGATGTCACAGTTCTTGGGCCATTTTGAATTTGGAAACAGAAAATAATTAAAAAAGGGAAAGACAACTATCAAATTCCTCCCCAAAACCTAGCTTAATCCATATGTATAATGTATCGCTGCTACCTTGTATTTCTTAGTTCCTTGCCCAAATATTACAACTGGCCTTTGTCCACCAGAATGATTGAAAATGCTACTTTCATAGTCACGTCAAACACTAAAGTACTGTATGTCAATTTTTATTTCAGAGTCTGTGGCCCGTTCTAGCAAACTTCTAGGCTGGTGTCAGAGGCAAACAGATGGATATGCTTGTGTGAACATAACAGATCTTACAATGTCATGGAAGAGTGGTCTAGCACTGTGTGCTATTATTCATCGATTTCGTCCAGACTTAATGTAAGCAATAGCATTTGCTTGTGAATGGCTATTTGAAGAAATTCAGTCAGGCAATTGAGGGGGTATTTAGATTTTCCTAAGCTATAGTAGGTAGAATTTTTGTTATAATTTAGAAAGTGTATTTTTCTCTTCCAGAGATTTTGATTCTCTAGATGAATACAATGTTGAGAAGAATAATCAGCTAGCATTTGACATTGCTGAAAAAGAGCTTGGAATATCTCCCATCATGACTGGCAGAGATATGGCATCAGTTAGTGAACCAGACAAGCTGTCCATGGTCATGTATCTCACCCAATTTTATGAGATGTTCAAGGACTCTCTTCCTTCCAGTGGTAAGATACATATCATGTATCTATTACAATCTTTGAAAGTTGCAATATAGAATTGACTGCTCTTGTTCTAGAATACAACAGTTTCTTATTTTCTTTGATGCTGAAAGAGAATGTTTTCTGTGCCTAATTTTTTCTCAATATAGTGAATACAATTAGCAAACTGGAATCCCAGCTGTTCTTATGGGGACATTATTTTGTGAAGCATTCTGGAATGAATTATTTCTGAGGTGATGAGATAGCAGGTTGACCTGTCTGCTGCTATCATAGTGTCTTTCCAACAAGACTAGCTCTTTAACTTTGTCATATTTTTGCTTTGCTGTTGAATTATGTAAAAATGTTCAAACTGGTTCTGTTACAATTTAATATTAAAGGCAAAAATAATAGAAGTAGGAACTTCTAAAGGAAGAAAAGTTGAAGACTTTCTGTTAGAGCAAGTTGGGAATAACAGGTCGTAGTGAAAAGTATGTACCTTATATGACCTAACCAAATGGTTAGTAGCAATAATATCTGAAAATATAGTTGTGTACTCAAAGCTAAAGTAATTTTGCAGTAAGGATAAGACAATAAATTGATCACAGAAAAATAATACTTTCTCTTTTGTCTTTGGAGATAAAGAATACATAAATATGTTTTAAAAAAGAATGCCTTCCTTGTTAAGCATCACTGGTACCCTCATTTCTAATTGTGGGTGGTAACCATTGTTTTTTTATGGATCTTAAATGATCGCAATGAAAATCAATTCCTAAAATGGAAGAAGGATTAAACAGAGGATTCGCTTCTGTGGAACTTTGCAACTGAATTTAGACGGTGGAAATAGCTATACTTTTATCGCAAAGAGCCAACATCAAAGTCTGAACTTTGAAATCTGAGATTTTTTACTTCGTTATATCTCCATTTTTTTGTTTCTTTTTATAGATAATCTGGAACTGAATGCAGAAGAAAAAGCTGCTTTAATTACTAACACCAAATCGCCAATTTCCTTCCTAAGCAAGTTGGGACAGACCATTTCACGGAAACGGACACCAAAGGTAATAACAGTGTTTTTGAAATAAAGATAAATCTCAGGAAGATTGTGATTTGAAGGAATATGAGTTAAATCCAAATTTATATCATTTGCATTGTATAATTACCCAAATGAATCAATTGGACGTAATTTTCTCAATGTTCTTAGCAACTCGGAAACGAAGCTCATATTTCAGAAATAATACATTTTGCTTGAAGATTGAGATTGAAGTCCAAACTAATTAAATGTCCAGTGCATAACTGAATGGAAGTTAGCTAATCCAGTTGTACTGAATTCCTAGGGCTGAATTCATTATTATTTATTGATTAGCCTATAGGCCATCCAATCCTAGGGCTGTGTTTTGATATGAAGCTGGGTGTGTGATTTTTCAGTGTCATATTGGGTAGCTTGGAAGAGAAGCTCAGTGTGACAGGTGCTGACACTGCTTATCTCCTAGAGGATGACTATGATTGCTTCTTTTTAAGAGCCTGCACATCTGTAAAAATTCATTTTATCTATATCACTCTGGAAGATTGTCATTATTTACTTAGAACTAAGGAGAAATTTCCTGACAGTTAGAACAATTAATCAGTGGAACCACTTGCCTCCAGGAGTTGTGAATGCTCCAACACTGGAAGTTTTTTTTTTTTAAATGTTGCATAGTTATTTGTCTGAAGTGGTGTAGGGTTTCCTGCCTAAGCAGGGAGCTGGACTAGAAGACCTCCAAAATTTATTCATTTAATGACTGCAGCATTTGTTTTATATAACCATGGTGTTTGCACCACAAAAAAGCCAACAAATAGAGTTCGGTCATCTGATGCCTCGACTTACGACTGCAGTGACATATGATCATAACTCCAGGGTCAGCTGCAATCGTAAGTTGAGAACTGCTGTTGATCAAATGGGGGCACGTTGTCCCAATTTTTCCCATTGAGTTTGTAGTGGATAGGCTGAACTAAAAAAGTTGCAGACACACTGGCTCACTTCAGAAAAAGGTCCTTGGGTTCTTCTCAGATGGGAAAAACAGGAATAATAAATATAAATATAAAACAATGGGGACTCAGAATTCTCTCTCTTCTGCTTAGGATAAAAAGGAGAAAGATCTGGATGGATCAGGAAAGAGGAGGAAAACCAGCCAGTCAGAGGATGTAAGTAATACTGTTTTCATTTTTCCTGTTCATTTAAAAAAATCTTACCTAATTTGAATTAGAAGAGATCATATATTGGCACAGTACGTTGAACTTAGCAAAGCATTTTTAAATCAGTAATTTCTACTTCAAATGAAATTGAATGCAACAGTCAAAATAGCCAATAAATTTTGAAATCAAGAACTAAAATATCCCAGGTTTGATTCTGTCAAACCACAGTCAAACTAGAACAGGGGTCTCCAACCTTGGCAACTTTAAGACTTGTGGACTTCAAGTCCACAAATCTTAAAGTTGCCAAGGTTGGAGACCCCTGACCTAAAACAATTAGCACTCATTCTGAGTGCCAGTATAACTATTTTTGGTTGAAAACAAATCACACTTCTTTTGTTTTGGGCACAGCTCTGGCACTTAAATAACTATCTTCCTTCAGTTTAATCCCTAGGTAAATACCACCAGTCAAAACTGGGACAACTGGAACTCGCAACGTCCTGTACATTCCAGTGATTAAAAATGGTGCTCTTTTTAGCTTAATTAATATGTATTTTTCTATCTCGATGCTGGACTTTGCAGGATTATCCCCTTTACTGGCACACTATAATCGGGATAATATTTATGCTTTACAGTTTTTAGAATCCTGTTCAGGGGTACCTTCCCCCTAGAGAGATCAGAGGTATAAGAACTCCCAAAAAATGTCATTCTCAGTGATGGGCTACTCATTGTGGGACCCTTTATTCTCTGGCTTTAGGCTGGCCTCTATCATTTTATACATTAAGAAGCAACTGAAAATATTTTGAGTTTGGAAGCCACAGCACCTGTTTTTTTAAAAAGATATTTAATATTTGGATTTTATGGATATCTTGAATTTACTCTTGTAAACCACTGAGAGTCACTTGAATAAGCGAAGTACATACCACTGTAAATAAAGGAGTAAGAACTTAATTTTAAGAGGTTGAGTTCTAACTGGAGCTCAGGAGAATCTTGCATTTTTTTGACATAGTTTTGGGATTTATAACAGCAAGAAACCTGTAGCCCTTGTTATTAAACTTCTTGCTCAAAGTCACTTGGGTTTCTAATCCTTAAGAAGACATTGAATGGCTGCCATCTAGTTTATAAGATGCTTAATCATCAACTTTAATTTCTACAAATATTAGATGGGGAGAAAAATGTGTTTCTGGGCTTTTACTTCCAACAGTGATCTTGGACACGATTGAATATTTATTTAATGTTATGTATCACATTTCTACACTGTTCAGCTTACCTAAATGACTCTAGGCAGTTTATAATCTTGTGTAAACTTACCTGGGACATATTTCTAACTTTACTTTGATCACAGAATCTTCGGAAGGGAAATTTAAAAATATGGGGTATATCCTGATGGGAGATTATACATTAACATTTGTAATTCTGAACCAATAGGATTTGTTTTTCTTTGCATTCCTTAGTTGAATTTAGGGAATTTGCATTTTTAATTTGTTTTTTTTTTTAAATGCCATAGACCAGGGGTGTCAAACTTGCGGCAACACATGATATATCACGACTTCCCCCCTTCGCTAAACCGGGCATGGCCAGCGTGTGACACATCGAGTTTGACAGCCCGGCTATAGACCATAGGAGAGAGAAAAAACCAGAAAGATTGATTGTAATAAATAAAAATTATGTATACCCATAAGCAAAAGTCAACATGGTAAATATGTAGAACTTGGTAAAGAGTAATGTATTATGAATGATATCAAAGTTCTATACACAAATTATCAAGAGGATCTGAAAAAAAGCACTCCAAGTTATAGATAAGATAGATGGAAAGAAAAGAACCTGGGCTTTTGCTTGTAGAGCAAACGCATTTCTAACCACTACATTTTTGAAACCAGCTGAGAAATTTCAGTGCCATAATCTTGTAGCAGCTGATCTATAATCACTGATTGTAATAATTGGGAAAGCTTGATAATAAATGATTTAATGAGCCAAATATAATATAATGAGATTATCTTGCTACATATGTGCCGTTGATTCAACCTTGTCAGAGAGTGCTGTTGTTCCTCAGCCTTTATCAAATAGCTAATCCTTCTAGTGTGTGTGCATTAGATCTGAAATCTCTCTCTATAAAAGCAAAATACCACTCACGCATCATCACAAAATCTCCAGATCTGTAAAGCCTACAAACTTGAAATTTGGCATGTATGTTCCTCTTGGCTTCTAGGTGCCAAGAAAGGGTTTTTTGAAATGACCATCACAGTATTAGTATTTCATATATTATTATTATTAACATGCTCGGATGCTAAGGAGTTCAACTCTGTCTCCCCACCTGAAAAGAAATCTGTTCCAAATGCAAAACACAAGCAGAGGAGAGGAGTTTCAGTTTTAGTTTCACAGCACCAAGCAGCTTTAGTACAGAACAGTTGAGCTAAGTCACGCCTAGGCTCCTTGCTATCTCTTTCTTGCTCATACAGCAAATACTGTTTCAATTTCCAAAGAGCCCTCAACTCTCTCACACACTGACAGGATGCTAGCCAGATGAATACCAATGGATGCTGGTAGGCAAAGGCAGAATTTTCCCCCCTTATTTTCCTCCCCCAAAACTAAACACGACCACATAGTTTCGTAGCAAAGCACTGTTATCGAACTAGTATTTAATATGCACAGCATATTCTCTGATAGTGAGCAGTTATGCTACTCTATACTCTGGTTTCTCTTCAGATCATATAAACCAGGGGTGTCAAACTGACATCGTCACGGCAGCATCATATGATGTATCGGGACTTCCCCCCCTTCACTAAACTGGACATGGGCGTGGCCAGCATGTGACGCATCCGGTCTGTGGGTTGGGAGTTTGACAGCCCTGATATAAACCGTTCACCTACACTTACTCTTTTAGAATTTGATGGTAAAATTAGGTTACTTTGAACTTGGAGGAAAATTAGGCAGTGTATGCAAAGCTGAACTGGCAAGAATGAGAACATGTGTCAGAACTCATAATGATGCTCAGAACTGGAATTGGGTAGAGGGATTTTCAAGTGCACCCAAAAGGAATCTCTTAATCTGTTCTTGACACTGTGATTTGTAGGAAGACTCTTCCAGAAGCTGTCGTGAAGACAGGCCCACCCTTGTAAGTGCCCTGACTGAGAGAAGAATTGATGCTGCTATCGGGAACCAGAATAAAGTGAAGTCTATGGCAACACAGCTGCTAGCCAAGTTTGAGGAGAACGCCCCTGTACAGTCCACAGGCCTCCGGAGACAGGTGAGAAGGGACCTTGCATTGGACGAATTGGGGGCTTTAGTTAATGCTCTGATAAAGGATGGATCTTCTTGCCTTGGGGGTGTGTGCATTTGAATTTGATTGGAGGGCATGCAGTCTCCCTCTGTAGCCAAACAAGTTATAAAAGCTGCTCTTGCATTTTTCTAGGAATAAAGAAGCCTTTTTTAAAATCCTGGTGGAGTTTTTTGCCAATCTGTCAAAGAGCATGCTGGCAAGTTGCCATTTCTTTGCTCAGTGTCTAGAAACAATTTGGGGTTGGAGGTCTGATCAAGTTCCCAGGTCATGAAAGCTAACTGCTTGAGAGCACCATCAGCTCCGGCTCTGTGCTCATCCTGGAGTTAAATGTAGCCTTCACAGGGAACTCCTTTGTAAAATAATCTTTGATGAATTGCCATCTGTTCAACATACAGAAGACAATTTTCAGTAGCTGCTGCAATGAATCATTAATACATAACCAGCTTCTCTGCTTGAGAAAGTGGTTCAAATAACTGGGTTCGCCCAGGAATCCTGAGGATTTATTTAACTTGACCGAGCACCACAGGACACATATCTTTTCCCAGTGATCGTTGTGTCCAATTTGCAGTGTGCTGCAAATGGAATGCCAGAATTTCAAGTGATACCCTGGTAAAGATACTGTTGGCATGAAGAGTGGATTAAAACATCTGTGCTGTGATTATTTTAGGGATCCCCCCCCCGCTACCTCTGATAGTTCACTTCCAATCTAAACGGATTCAAATAACTTGTCCAAATAATAGGAGACAGATGGCCTGCTCGTGGCTAAGTTTCTGTTTTCCTTCCTCCTTTTTTCCCCCTTCCATTTTTAAATATTTCTCTATATTTCTTTTTTGTTTGTTTGTTTGCCAACTAATTTTTCCTTACTCCATTTCCCCCACCCCCACCCTTGAATGTCTGTCTTTGAATCACCCCATTCAATATCTACCCCGTCCCTTTGTGGGTTTCTTTGTGAGTTCTGTTTTTGCCTTTTGTGGAAATGCCCACCAACCTGGGCATGTTATGATCTGCATGCAACATTCTGCCCAGCCTTATCAAGACAGTGCTCTCAGCCATCCTGCCTATCGACAGCGAGAGCAGAGCCGCCATGCCCCAATACCTCAGTGGAAACAGGTAAAATGAACCCCAATGAATGGCTGTCACACTGCCAATGCCATTGACTACTGCTTTTCCATCCCACAGCACTCCTCCTCCTCCTCCTCCTCCTGTTTCTTTATGCAGGCCCTGCTTTCTGTTCAAGATGTCTGAGCTACTGAAGAATTATGTCTTATATATGGTTCCTAGTTATCAGTAAAATTGAGAGCACAGAAAAGATAGCAGAGATCCTTTCTAACGCATCTTATTAACAAAACCTTGAGCAGTCATGAGATCACTACTGTGAAAGCATCTAATAAATGTAATTTCATTTATATGGAAGCATTGCTATCCCATCGGTATATATAATCATGATTTGAAGATATTTACAATTGAGTCTTGGGAGCCCTTAATATTATGGCATTCTTCTGTAAGGAACTTCCTTGAGGGAGATCTAATCCTCAGCACTGGCAAGCATGATATGAGAATTAGCCCTGACAGAAATATTTCACACATTTTGAAATATACCAGTTGTGCATCCCTCTTGCCCTAATACAGAGGAACTGGCCAGTTGCCCAAAGATGCATTTTTCTGTTTTTATTACAGATAAGAAAAAGTTTATTTCATTTGGCATTATGGTTTTTTGCTGTACTTAAAGTAGATGCTGGTCTTTTTCAGCTTTAAGAATTTTCAAAGAGATTTCATTACAGTATAAATGTGAAAAGGTTATTTAACTGGGAGAAATCATTTAGAAATTAAACACTTTCTTTTCTGTCTTCTGATTCCTATTCTAATATTGTTATAAGTATTCAATATATAGATTTTTCAAGGAAAATTGGTTAGGGAACAATATCTCATCAGAATTTGAGCACCCCTCCCCCCCAATTAATGTGAGGATTAATAATATACTAATATTGTTCCTAAGCATTCACATACAACAGGTATATAGATTATTTTAAAGGAAAAGTATAGCAGTACTAGAGCTTCTAGTATTTTCTCAGTTTGCATCTGCCTAAAACACAAATGAAAATGAAGATGAGTCTATTTAGGCTCAGTAAATTCTTGCTGGTGAATATTTCTTGTTGGCTTATTTAAAGCAGTTATTGTCCATCATCATTATCAACCTATGGATAGCCTCCTTTAACGTGTAACCATCAGCAGGACATCGGATTATGAAATGCTCCTGTAATTATTTACCAACATATTTTAATTTGTATATCAGCCACTCAGTCAAAACATATATGCTTCCTACTTATTTCTGGCCAAAATTGTGCACATCATTCTGAAAGCAAAATGAAGTGGAAAATAGCAGACAGAACATAACAACGCCAGATGGATATGCTTCATTTCCAGCGTAGGTCATGTGCGGAGCCAAGAAACATGGAATTAATCTGCAAGCAAGGAATATTTTTAAAATTGTTTTGCAACATGGCTCTCTTTTTGGTGTGTAACTTAAAATACCAAGTTTGGTACAGTAGAACCTTTGCCATGTTATATAGCTTAACTTCCTACTATTGAGGAATTTATGCACAGGACTCAGGGCCAATCCATACAACTCAGACTTAAAGGTTTTTTACTTTTTTTGTAGCCGATAGTTTAATTTCTTAACCTAGATTCAGGTGAGTCCCTGAGAAAGCAGTAGTCTGAAATATAGTTATGTTGTTGGTATGATTCTGGCTACCAAAGTGAACTTGCTTTGAGATCTTAATCTTCACAATTGTCGTATGCAAAGACAATGCTGCTAAAGTATGATGTTATGCTTTCTCGATCAATAAAAAGCGCATCAAGGATGAGTCACTGGAACAAGATGAATTATCATAAGAGATTTCAGCATTTGAAGAACTTTTGGTGGCCAGCTAATGGAGAAGACACTGTAAGAATGTAACAAATATCCCAGAAGCTATCCAAAATCAGTAGATAAAGAAGATATGTCTTTCTAACAATGGTTGAAAAGTCTTATGACTTTGTTTCTTATATTTTTTTCTTCTGATTGTACAACGTGGTAATTGTTTGTGAACAACTCTGTTTGTCTTCTCTCTCCTCTATATGCACCATAAACCCCCTTTTCATCCCAAAAAGGCAATCTTTAATGGAAATTTCTATTTTTATTACTACCAACACAGGGAGAATAGTGTAATTACAGAAAAAAAATTCATTAGGGCATTTTTTTGATGAGCTTCATTCTGGTCAATACCATAGTGTTCTGACCCAAACCCTTTTCCAATAAAACAATCACGAACCAAAGGGAACAGAAACCTTTTAATGATTCTTACGAATCTCTGGTTAAAAGGCTGCTGCAAACAAATTAACTTTGATAAGCACAAGTCTCGCCAAAACTGTGGGAGGCTTCCAAGAATAAGAGATAAGGTTACCTAGAAACATTTTACAACACAAGAGTCTTCAAATACCAACTTAAGATACTGCAATGTCCATGAGGCTCGAGTTTCAAAATGTCTTTGCTTCCTACAAAGAATGTCCGATTCACAGCTGGCTTTTATCTTCTGGAAGGAGGTTCCATTACCTTGCAGACTTACTCCCGATTTGCCCATGCTGCTGCAGCTGCTCTTTCCTGTGAGCAACCCTGCGCACACGTGCACTTGGCACAGGCTCCTCAGGAACCTCCTCATCACTGCTGCAAGCCCCCACAATCTCTGAAGGCAGCAGTCCACTCCCTAATGGTCCTGGCTCCTCATCTGAGTCCTCGCCCTCCTCAGCTGTCCACACCTGCTGCCGGCTAACCACAACACATAGTTTCTTCTTGAAGATGAAGCATAAATGGCTTTGAAGATGAAAGGTAAAACGTTTTCCAAATTACCATTTAAGAAACTTACAAATTATGGTATGGACTTTTGCTGAAGCTCATTGAACAAGTCAACCATCTTTTTGCTCACCAACTTGAAGCATGTAGAAGCATGGCATTTTCTCCAACAGAAGATACAGCAACAGCTGTATACAGAAACAGCAGCAAATTTAAGTGGAACAGCTCTTTGATGTTCTTTCAACTTATAGGCATATGTTTTGGTCAGATCAAAGAGTGTCTGAAACATTAGGCTTTGTGTTTTGATTGTAATCCACAAAAAGATGTGACCAAAAGAATCTTATCTCTCTTATTCACTTGATGCTTTACCTTGAACAAATTTAATTAAGTAGATCCAACATCTTTCTACCACTTCTAATTATCCTCACATTTTTTATTAGCATGAGTATACATAGAAGTATAGTCTCTTATTTTTATAAAAAGGGCATTATTAAAAAGATTAAATCTACTCTTCTACAATGTCAGGGGGAAATTTTAGCAATAGTTCTGAAGAAATAAACATGACTGCTCTATGGTTGAAGACAATTTCATCTTGAACTTAACAGCTTTACTCTTCATTTGCATACTAATAACACAAGTGTGTTGGGGGAGAGGGAGGGGAAATAAAATTTTGAAACTGGAAGTTGTAGATTGGAACTCTGGTGATAGGTCATTGTGTCAAGATAATCAAATGTGTTTATTACTTGATGGATAAAAATTATGTTGGCAACAACATTGGGTCGTTTTAAACTGAAATAGTAAAATGATAATTATAGAAGAACATCAGTAGTGAACTCTGTCATGCACAATTTCCTTTTACCTTTAATGCATTGACCCAGAGAACATCCCTCATTGTATTTTTGTGAACCAAGAACCCCCAAGTAGAAAATAGTTTATCCTACATTTTTAGAAGTTTGATGGAATGGTCCATACTTTAGATCAAGGGTGTCAAACTCAAGGCCTGTAGGCCAGATCCGGCCTGTGGAGTGCTTAAATTTGGCCTGTGGGGCCACCCTGGAAACAGCAAAGGACTGGCCCATGGTGCCTCTGCCAGGGAAAATGGAGCTTGGGAGGACTGGTCTCTGCGACGGCTTCCTGCAGCCTTTTGCCAGCGAAAATGGAGCTCAGGGACTGTGCGCAATCCCCCCGAGCTCCATTTTGGTGGCAGAGGCCTGCAGGAGGCCATTGCTGAAAAAATGGAGACCGGGAGTGCTGTGCGTGCCCTCCCCCCCCACCCCAAGCTCCATTTTCACTGGCAGAGGGCTGCAGGAGGCTGTCACAACTGAAAATGGAGTTCAGGATGCTCACGTCGGCCATGCCCAAGCTGGCCTCCTGAAGTCAAACACAACTCTGATGCGTCCCTCAATAAAATCAAGTTTGGCACCCCTGCTTTAGATGCATGTATTGGGATATGGTAGATTGGAGCCCAGGACCAAAAGTAAGAAAATACAAAACAAGAATAATAAACTGCAACTGTGAATTTGGTGTCACAAACTGTACTGGTATTTATGAAGAATAAGGTTATTAATCATTACTGATCATGAAGACTTGCTTAAGCGGTCAGAGGTTGAACGTCATGGCATTCTGTCAACTGCTGGGGACCAATCATGTGTATGGACTGACACACTGACATCTTGTTTGTATGCTTTCGAAAGATGAAAAAGATGGGCACCCAGTAGTGTGGTCTGCAAAGTGTCTCTTACATTCCTGTGGAAACACCTTAACTTATCTGTAAACACATAGTCATTGTAGCACCAGGAAGTTTGGAAGATCAGCATGTGTAGATATAGAAATGTCAGGTCCTATTACAGTGTAGTGTAGCTTAGGAGAACTAGAGATCCAGGTGGAATCTTACGTCAATCATCATCATATAATCTCTCATGATATGAATCATCATTAGGCAAGCAGTAAAGTTGATCATATACCCATGTTGTCTGACCTGTATATTCTGGTTACATTTTGCAATTAATATTATTGGATTAGGAAAATAATATAAAAGTAGGAAACAGCAGTATATTTCTACAGAACAACAACAGCATGAGTTGTTTTATGCAAATTGCTCAACATTGCATAGAATAGGACAGGCAGTTTGTTTTGCTTGACTGCATTTTGGTGTTTTTGAAACTGCACACAGAATTCTTTATTTGAGCACTTCAGAGCATTTCAGACAAATGAAGCAACCTGTCATGAACATTTGTGAAAGTTTTCAAGGGAAGTGAAAACCCTGCCCTTTAAGAGTTTGCTCTGCAGAGGTTCTAGCTCCTAAGCTAAGAAACGAAACATGGTCCATTTGCTTCAAATCACTTGTTCTTGTTTTGATTCCTTCCCCATATATTCACCTGCGACTCTCATTATGCCCAGCAACATCGCAGTGGTTAAAGGCCACAATCTAAATTTTGGAGGACCCCAAAAGTTTAAGGAGCACTGCTCCAGATGATGCCTTTTTCAGCCATAGCTCGGGCAAAATGCAGGGAAAGGTGCGCAAATTGTCAGGGAAAGCTACACAATTTGAGATTTAAGCAGTCTGTATTTGAACAAAAGGGTTTTGCTCCTAGGCTGGTTTTCTCTGTCGAAAAAAAAAAAAATAAGATGTTGAGTTTTCAATGCAGGGTATTAACATAAAGCCGATGATATTGTTTCTTGTTCTATCGTTTTCCCCTTCCATTGTTTTAAAACAAAGATGAGGAAAAAGGAGCGTTGTCGGACCTGTCCCAAAAAAGTGATCATGCTCTCTTCTTCCTCCATTTGTACTTCCTCTCCATCGTACCCCAGTCAGCAGGTGATTTCATTCTGCATGCTCTGTCCTTCTTCCTTTTTCTCTTCCTCCTTGCTTCTTCAAATGAGTGGATTACATGCCCTTCTTGGGTTGAGTTTCTCCTTAAAAGCCTGAAGATCTCTTGATCTGATTCTCCCTTTCCTCCCAAGAAAAAAACTTAGTGGTACACATTGGATTTCAGTTTAGTAGCTTATGATTAAACGGAATCTACTTGTAGTCCATTATGTGTAATATACATAAGTTGCTGAACCCAATAGCATCCAGAGCTTAAATAAAAGCTAACGTTGGGATTGCTATTTTATTTCTTGTTATAAGAGGAGTGGCAATAAATACTAGCAATTGAAATTCAAAATAGTTTGATTCTATTTTTAGTTTAAGATCTTTGTGATTGCCTGTTGTTTGGGTTTTTTTTGTTTTGTTTTATTTACTATGATTAAAGTACTCTTTGCCTTCAACCATTAGAGGCATTGTTCCTGTTGAAGTGTTCTTCCTGCTAGAAAATTTGTAGGCATTTTTCCCTTTTTTTTAAACTTCTTATTTTATACATATGCATAAACATATACATACATACATTTATGAAACAAATTTATGCAGCCTCACACACTACGGCTACATTAATGCAAGGTTATTTTGATAATAGCAAAATCTATTTATTCTTATCTGACTCTTCGTAGAGTTGGATATCTGTGCTTGTCTATGGACATTCTCGATCATCCAGGTCATGGTTGCCCCAAAGGCGCTTTTTTTCAAGAGGCTACTGGACTTTCTGGTTCTTCTTTGAAGATGTTTCACTTCTCATCCAAGAAACTTCTTGAATGAGAAATGTAATTTCTTCAAAGAAAAACAAGAAAGTCCAGTCGCCTCTTGAAAAAGCACTTTTGGGATATCTGTGATGTTCAAGATTAATTTTTTTTCTTTTCCTGTCATCATTGCCGCTGGTGAAATGCAAATTCTTTCAAATCTTGCTTATTTTATTTTTTAAAGAGAGAAAGTGAGATGCAAAAACATGTAGATCAAGTTTTTGTGCTATGAAGTGACCACTATATTACTCATTTCTTGAGAAGCCTTTTGTTAATGAAAGTTCTTAAAGAAATCCTGCTCTTCAACGGAGCACATTGACATTATCTTCATTACTTGTGAGTGTCAGGGCTCCAACAAATCCATCCTCATTCAAATCAAAAGTCTCTAGCCGCATCTCAGAGAAAAGTAAATTGATTTATTAGGAGTGGCCATGTTGGCGTAAGCTGGATGCAGCCGATATTAACTTACATCATACATTTCCCCCTTGACCCTGGTCTTTCCCCCAACCCCTGGATGTGACTTCTCCAATGGGATACATCCATCTCCAAGAGTCATCCATCATGCTCTCCAATAACCTTCTTATGCTCCGACAACTTTGGGTTACCGGGGTGATTATCTAGGCACTTAAGGAATGCACTGTTTTCCTCCACTCCCTTTTTCTGGCAACTAAAAAGACCAAAAGAGTATCTTTTTAGCTGACAGTGAGATTGGAAAACTCAATCATGTTTGACACTTAAGAAAAGAGTTCCCAGTTCAGTTGATTCTAGCTCTTTGACATTTTTACCTTACTTCCCTTAGTGCTTTCTTTTGTCTTCTCCCACTTATAAAGCATTAGTAAACAACTCAATCCTTTAAAATGTCTACATCTTGCACATTATCTACTTTTCGGGGCACCATTGTTTTTTCTGGTTATTCTTTCCAGGCAATGTTCCTTGGTGTTTTGCCAAGTGTCGGGGCAGCGATCAGGTGCCCAGGCAATTGGTTCTTTTGCATCTAAAAACAATAAGCAGGCCAGTTAACAAAGGTAGCTTAAGCTTTATTATTAGTTCAAGCAAACAGAGGAGCTGCCGGGAGCTTCTTAATAATACCTCAAGGGTAGCCAGTTTCCATAGTCCCCAGAGGTGGATTCCATGCAGAAGCTCCCAACAAACAACAGTCTCAAGGTTTTTATCATAACTTCATGGCACTGTTTGGTCATGAGATTATAAAACCTGACTTTTTGACTTGGTGGCAAATGACTCTGAGATGGGATTTGAAAGTTAGATTTTCCAAGGGAGAAAAGCTTGCAGCTAGGTGTAAATTCCTCTGTTCTCCTTTTTTTTCTTTTTTTAGAAAGCAAGAATAAGAAAAACCAAACAGGTTAGCTCAGAATGAACTTTAAACTTCTAGATTTTTCCTAATATGAAGGAAAAATCAAAACATGTCACTAAACTTGAAATAACAATGGTCATCTGCATTGGCACTAAACTTGGAAAATAATGTGTTTCTCCAAGTATAAATAGTTATGCAACAGCATGACAAATCAGGAGACTAAATCAGCTGTAGCTTAAGAAGCATACCAATTTTGGTATCCTCGTTTGTAAAAAAAATAAAATTGGTCTTCTAACCATTGTCCTCGTGGTTGGAAAAACAGACACAAATCAAAATGTGTGCTTGATTCAACCAAGGGGGGGAAAACTCCTATAGTTAACTTGTCATTCCATCTTATAAAGCTGTGTTGTTAGGACCACATCTAGCATTCAAGAGACAGGCTGAGATTTCAAAAATAGATTTCAGGAAAACACTTAAATTTATTTAGTTAAAATAAATAGAAAATCCTTCCATTTATATTCTCCTGTCATTTTGGAAAGAGTAAATCACTGGCCCTTTTGAGGGTCTTTGAATTATATCCGAAGGTATTCTTAGAGGGAGAAAGAAAAGCCAGGCTGATGAAGCAATTTTGCAGTACCCTTGCAAACTATGCCTCTTTGTTATGTATGACAGTATAGTAGTCCTTGTTTAGCAACCCCGATTGAAATCAGCAACTGGGTCATTAAGAAAAGCAGTTGCTTAGTGACTGCTTACAAAGCTTCCCTTTGTTTTACAGACCACCGAAGGCCATAAATGGGAGGATTAAAGTTATTTTTTTCATCATTGTCATAACGGAATGATTTCAGTTTTTAAATGGGGACTACATTATGCATGCACACCTCCAGGTGTTAGAGCTTGGGGTGTGATGCCCCAATGCTGCTTTCATGCTGGCAAAAGGGCAAGAAGCGGCTGTCCATTCCCAGGCCTTTAGGGAAGTATATGCTTCAAAAGTCTGAAAGTGTTAACTTGGCCACAGATTGTAGGCCCCTTTATAAATCAAAGCTCTTTAAAAATATATGTAAAATAGTTATGATTTGAACATGGCAGTCAGAGGATAGTGTCTTTCTATATTGGCACTTCAGGAAACAATGTCATTTAAGCAATATATAAATATAGACTTGATAGAAAGATTATGGCTATAGTAGTTTCTTTGTGAAGAGTTGATAGTTTCTGGTGTTCTTTGAAATTTCAGTTCGATAAAACAATTATGTCCTTTCAAGTCATTCTTAGCTCTTAGCAATCACATAGATTTTCTCCAAGATGACTAAACAATAGATAGGTGAATTATAATACAGGCATCCAGATTTCTTAAGGCAGGATAGCTTGTGGTCCCCATAGATGGAAATAAGAGCGAGGCTGGGCCAGAAGCCTATTTACTTGTCTTGTTAAGGAGAGTTGGATCTTTTCAAAACAATAAATGTATTTTTGAAAACTACGGCATAATACATTTATCTGGTTTTAATTAGCCAAATTATTTATGTCTAACTCCCCATGTTATTTCTAAAACAAGGTAGATTTTAATGCACTAACTTGGTCATTTCTTGGAAACTGTCTCTTTTTCCTGCATGCCTTTTATTACTGTGTATGCAGTGTTACGTCACCAGTTATTAACACAGTTTGCCTAGAGTGTTATTTTTAACCATGCCACATAAAGTTGGATAAGTATGTTCTCTTCCTATCCTGGCATGACCTGTGCCGAAATCAAAATATTTCCTGGACTTGTCATCTTTTTCTCTTCTAGGGCGATCCTAATTAAACTCTGCTGTTTTTTGTGTGTCTGGGTGGGGGGTTGTTAAGGTAACTCTTTTCCCTGCAGGCCACCAGAGATCCTCAGACAGATCCACCTGGAGAACAGAGTCCCAGGCATCAATGGGTAAACAGGCATGAGCAAAGCAAGCATGAGTTGTAGAAGGCACATCGTCAGCTGGCAGGGGAGGATGGTTGTATGTTTATCTGTGTGCTGATGACGCTAATAACCTCAGTGCAGCGCGGCTGAAGATCTTTCCAAAATTAATAATTCTCTTGAGTCTATGAGGTTTACTGAAGTACTTGAGTCTGACCCACCTTTAAGAGTATGTAATACACCTTTTCAATTTGGCACGTTGCTCACTGCAGATATGGAACCAGCTTTGGGGTAGGAAACGCTGTGGTGAAGCAAAAGGAGCTTTCCCCCCCCCCCCTTCAGTGCTATCAGATTTACTAGAGAGCTGCTGAAATATAGATAAGATAACCTTTATTGTCATTTTTCTTTTACTGTGAGCACACTGGCACACATTAAAAAAACAGGGAGCAAAGTTGGAGTAAGAAAAGAAATAGAGCACTTCCTTTCTCTTTTGCCTAGCCCTTACATTGCATCGATCTTTCTGTCCTGGCTTTCTAACTCTCACAGTGCTATATGGATTCAGTCCCCAAAAGATTCTTCAGAGCACACAGGAGCACAATTCTTCTCTCTTCAGTACTTCAAAAAGAGCCCCCAGCCTTAATCTCTCGTTCTGTATCACTTAGAATGATTGTGGTGTTTTGATAGACTTGAAAGCATGTTTTATTTCACGTTGCTGCGAGATGCACAGTTCAGAATGCAGCCTATACTTTCAACCCACTGGAAACCAGTAGGTCTTCAACAGCAGTCACGATCAGATTGGGCCACTCTAAATGGCTTATTAAAAAGTTTTGGTTCCACCCAAGGAGGGAAATAGCTTCTATTCCAGAAGAGTTTTACAGCTCCCTCAAACGTCATATCGTTGAGCTGTCTGGCACGGACACTTGTCAGCTTGGCTTCTGTGCTTCCAGCTCTCTTGTTTTTTTTTTCCTGTGCATATTATTTCCTCTGGTCATTTTCTTCCTTCATTGTTGTTCTGCAGAGGACTCATCATTTCTTTTCAGATGACCATATGGCCGAGCATACCCTCACCATTGAAGAGAGGGCAAGCCAGCTGGCTGCTCTTCTGGAGCAGAGGCCAACAACCAGGCACCAGGTGATGGATTTCCTGCTTGTCTGGTCTGGTTTGATCGCTTGCTGTTCCACAGAAAGGGAATGAAAAGTTACTGCGGCTCTAATGTGGCAGGCATCAGACGCCACGTATTAATGGCTGATCACTATATACTCACATTATAGCGGAATTCATTCTACTGTTCTGAGCTTGCAAAAAAATAATAAAACTGTGATCCCCTTTTTCTAACAAATATTCCCCCTTGTGGAATCAGTATTTCAACAGATGCTTCTGGCATGGAATGTAGCTTCTGTGGGAAGGAAGTGACTAAATGAAAAAGGATTTTTAATCAAAAGCATGTTTTGTACTTCCAAAGAATTGGGATTACATTTTTCAGAGGCTGAAACAGATTCAACCAGGGTTAGCAGAGCATTGCTTGGCCAGTCTGGAGCAGAATAATGTCTGCAAATATTTATTAGGTTTGCGTAACCCTGTTTTTGTAAAATAACCTTCTTAACGAGTAGCTAAACCCAAGAAATCAGAAAGTAACTTAACCCATAAAGGGGTTAAATCCAATTTAAAAATGGGTCTTAGGAAAAAAAAAGAGAGAACAAACCCAATTCCTGAATTTGCTCTGCTTCATTAATCTGATTCTCAGTGCCAGGAATTCAGTCATATATTATCCCTTGAAAATTAGAATGTATTCTGAAACAATTCTCAGCACACCCTCTGAATGAGTTGAGACTGCAGATCCTAAAATTCCAGTGTCTGGGAACTCTGGCATTTGCTGTCTAAACACAATGCAGAGGGTGCCAGATTCAAGAAAACTAGAATATACTTTCTAGTCTTGTGTAAGCTGCTGCAGTGTCAAATTCTGTTCATTTAGCTATCAGTTTTGGCTGATGGGGTTAAACCCCAATTTAATCCTGATGGTATTAAAGCAGTTTCTTCTTTTGACACATTCCAGTCAGCAGCTTTGCCATAAAGCTGTAAACTCTTACCATAGCTTTTTAAAACAACAAACAAACAAATCTCTTTAAAAACCCCAATCTTTTGTTTATGGTTGTATTTCATATCCACAATATTTCTGTTTATTATTACCAAAGGATATTCTACGACATAAACTTTTCAAGGAAGATTTCCCAGATTTTCTTCAGAGCAGATTGTTGACTACTGTGTAGTTTCAATTTTTTCCAAATCCCACAGTCCGTCCTCATCAATTTGGATAGATCCTCATTTCTAGAATTTGAACAGAAGACCCTCATGGCGACACTAGCACTTAGGCTGTTTCCCCACTGAAAACATCTGATATGTTGAAGCTTGGATGGATTTCATTTTCCCATGGCTTTTAAACATGTCATCGCCTGACTTTCTCGCCTTTATTTTGTAGCCAGAGACTGAGCGAGCTCGTCGATCGGTTGTCGAGCAGTGGGAGCTCTCCCGTAGCCTCCGCTCTTCCAGCCGCCCCGCTTCTCCCTCATCAGATTCCCTCAGACAGGTAGCATGGTGTGGGGCTTCTCGCTACACCCGACTGCATACGTGAGCCTGCTCCATCTCCTGCTGTTGAATAGACCTCAGGCATCTCCAAGGTCTTGGCTTTGGCGAAGCTGAGTTTAATTCTGTTTGCTTGCGAATGAGAAAGCTTAAGCTGCTTTATACCCAGGGTATTCCAAGGCTGATAGAAATCGGTACCGATGTGCATCTTGCCTGTCTTAACATCACTGGCTATATTTTAGAGTATGCCTCCAAAGTCGTTCACAAAACAGAAGGACACACATCACGGATGTCTCCAAAAGCCTCTTCCTTCTAATATTGTTATTTACAATTGGACTGCTTGAGGCACCCCCGGAGCTCAAATTACCAAACTATGGTTTGGTCAGCAAGTACATATCTTTCTCACCTTGCTCCACTCTTATCTCAGGATCGTGTCCTCCTCTTGTTTTCACTTTTGTAGTAGTTGTAATTGTGATGACTGAAGTTGCAGAGCAACTTACAACAAAATGTACTGTACTTTGGAAATTTAAAAAACGGAGACCAATAAGCGGTGAGGAAATGAAAGGCTTATCACTTGCCTTGTTGAAACTAAAGCTCGTGAATGTTCCTAAACTAGGAAACATTATATTTATTATCAGAAAATGTTGCCTGTTTCTGCAGATAAACAGGCAGCACTGACCCTCAACCCATGCAAGCGCCCCCCCCAGCAGTTCACCTCCCAATGACCCTGACTTGATATAACAAATCCATTCATTGATATAACCAATTCACAAGATTCATTGATGACTTACACCTGGCCCATCACCAGACACATCACAGATCCTCAGTTGACAAACACGCACCTGAAGCCCTTGTAAACAGAACACTGACATTCCCTAAACTCTGTTACCTAGCCTGGTAACAAAATGCTCAGAAACCAACCCATAAGCTCAGAGAATAAACCTTCACCTTCATCCTACACCTAAGCTATAGATATTTGCCACTATTGCAAACATACATATGTTATTGAAAGGGTAAAATCCACTTCTAATCTTGTTTTCCTATGTGTTGGTTTGCTTTTATCTGGGTAGCAGAAGGAGATATATTTTTGAGTAGATATATCCAACATGATGACTAAATTTACCAGTATCCAGAAACACTTTCTCATTAGAAGACTGGGAATATAAATCTCCCATTCCAAGCAAAAAAAAAATTCTTCCAATCAGATTTAGGGTAGAAAAACATGACTAAAAGGCCTCTGTATCTTTTGCTCTGATTGAAGCAGAACCCACTTAAACCAATTACTAAAAAACTTTGGGTCACCCACTTTCTCCAGCCCTTCCAAAAGAAAAGGAAGAAGCATTTACAAGTCACAATCTACTCTCTGTGAGTTAAGACTTGCTGATAAGCAGAGAGAAACTGTTTTCTGGCAGTTATCCAATATAATTGGCCAATTATACTGTCAGTACATGAATAAGACAGAAGGTCATAATGTATGGAAATAAGCAGGGTTTTCAAAGGACCTTAATTTGCCAGACTTCAAAATAACATGCAATTTTAGAAAACTTGCTTGCTTCATTCATACAGAAACAGGAAGTAGCAACATTATCTTCCAAACAATTATTACTTCATAGGTGTTGATTGCAAGGTGAGATGATGGTCCATAGATTAGCCAGACTTGTAGATGTTCCTGAAATATAGGACATGATGAAAAGCAAAGCAAATTGTGAAGAATTTCAAATTAGATGAATAGGCAATAACATAATAAACTCCAAAAGTTGCAGGAGATTTATGTTAAAGAAGGCAAGAATCCCAACTTTATGTACAGCATACATTTATGAAGTCCAAATTCTCTGTGATTTCTCCAGCAAGAAAGGAGGGGGTGGCGTGTTATGTTCTTACGTAAAACTTTCAGCCACAATAAAAGGTGATTTAAAAATTACAGATTATTAGGTAATCATCCAGGATTGTAATAATTTTATGTAAATATGTGGAGTCCACTTCTCTGAATAATGTGAATATTTTTGATATCCCAACTCAAAAAAGACATTGAAGAACTTTCCATACAAGGTAACTTGTGGGTTTTAGTTGAAGAACATTATTCTATGAGATATTTTCTTGCACATTATGGGGATTTTTCTTTGACATAATGCTAGAATTATGTCACAGGTGATTGGCAGTAGAGTTGGCGATAGATCATTAAACAATTTCTTCATACCAATTGCTGTCAACATTGAATTTCGTGAGCTTTAACAGTTCTTTAAAAGGAGACAAAATAAATCCAAAGAAACTGAAAAATATTCGTAGAAACTTCAGTCAACCTAGTTTATTTATCATGGTGAGATAGGCAGCAAACAAATTTAATAAATAAAATAAATTATTATTAGATTTATACCTCTTCTTTACTTATACAACTCTAGGCAGTGTTCCTAATGTTTCTGTCTCCTATTTCCCCAACAATTACCCTATATGATGGATTGGGCTGAGAGAGAGGAACCGTCCCAAAATTGCCCAGTTGGCTTTCATGTCTAAGGAAGGACTAGAATTCACTGTCCTCCAGTTTCTACTCCAGCACTTTAACCATTGCAACAGACTAGCTCTTTCTGACTAATGGGTATCAGTTCAGGAGTTGGGGAAGGGGGGCAAAACAGCCCTTTTAATCTTTCTTGCTATGTGTGTCTAGATTGACATTATAGTCACAGCAGTTTTTACAGTCATGGTAGTTGGGCAATATGGAAATGTACTTCTGCATATCCACCCAACATCAGGTTGGAGAAGGGCAAAGCTATCGTACCTTTTCTACTACCTTCAGTCACTCAAGAAGGCAAAAGGGAAAGCTTGCAGGTCTTAGCCTGTGTTCCTCTGTGCAAAGGAAATTAATGTATAATCATTGGAACCCCCTTTGTTTTTGAAACGACTGAACTGCTGGATGGCTCTACTTTGTTTTTGAATCTCTTTTCAAACTTGTTTTTCTTGAAGGGGTGCCATCCAACATCAGTCTGTTTTTCGTTTCCCATGGAGGTGTTGGCAGAATGTACTTTGTGAGGCTTCTCAAACAAAAGCTTTTTCTCTTCCAATATAGTTCTTGAATTATAATCCTGTCTGTTTTTTCTGTAGTGCAATTTGATTTATGGTTTGCTTTTAGAATCCTGTAGAAACGCTCTTCTTCTTGGGCTAAAAGCTAATATCAGCAATTTTCACATTAAGTGTCTCTTTCCTGCTGTTGTCTTTTTTTTTCTTTTTCTTCCAAAATATCCTTTATTCAGAACATACAATTCCCAAGCTTATGTTTTTGGATATCATAGGTACTCATAATATCCAAATACTTGGATATTGCTGTGAATAACATTCTTCCGTGTACTGTATATCCCTGAAATAGCAACAGGACTTTTTTCCAACGTATCTTTCAAACGGGGAAGATTAGTTTAAATTTAGCAAAGATGTGGTAATGGAAGCAAGTTTTTAACTGTCCAATGTTCCATGGTTTTTTTTTTTCTTACATTTGGATTGTCTCACTTTGAGCAAATACAGCACACGTCTCTTGCTGAAACAGGAGTTTATTCACTTCCCTTGTGCACCATCAGGGCCAAATTGCTGCTAAAATCTAGGGGGCTTTGTCTTTGAAGTGTTAAATTTATGTTTTACCGGTGTTTATGTTTGGTAAAACATAAATGTTAACACAAAAAAAGTAGTTTGTTGGGAAGGCCCTTGGATAAAACGGAAGCAGTGTGCTCCATCCCATAATTGGATAGACCAGGTTGCCCTGATAGACCAGTCCCACTGGAGAAAAAACACTTTTGGTCTTTGATTTGTTGAAGTGTTTTCTGACAAATGAGTTAGGCTTTTCTGAGAATCACATGGAATCGGTTATGGACTGTGCGTGGTTACGTTTTGTGTTGCTTACACCACTGGTTGCTGCTGTCACCTGTTTTGCTGGTATCACACCCACTTGCGTGATACACTGCCCTGGCATGGTTTAATTCATTTTTGCACCCTTTTTTTTTTCTTTTGTTGGTTTCAACGCAATTTATATTGTTTCTCTTTCCATCCATTACCTTCCCTCTCCCCAATTATTTTCACCTGGTAGAAGTATATAAAGATGTATACAGGAGGCGTGAGCTCATTGGCTGAGCAGATAGCCAATCAGCTTCAAAGGAAAGACCAGCCTAAAACCCTGCTAGACAAAAAGGAACTGGTAAGAGAATGACTTTCAGAATGCAACGTGTGTTTGAGAGCGTGAGATTTGAAATTAGGTTCTCTTTCTTCATTTCATAATAAAGCATTCCCCACACCCCTTGATGCTTTATCTGAGGTAGTCAGACATCTATGAAGATTCTCAATCATCCAGGTCATGGTTGTCCCAAAGCTGCTTTTTAAAAGGCAACTGGACTTCCTTGGTTTTTTTCCCCTGACTCTTTTGAAGATAGCAAAGTCCACATTTTTGAACACAGAGGCCCATTGGTTTGAAAGAAAGAACAAAGAGGCCATCTGTGTTAAAATTGAACGGCCCTCTCTTAACAGAGGGGGAGGCATAAGACATCAACCATCTCTTATCTACAACACAGTCCTTTTAGCAGTCCCAAAAAGGCTCCACACCCGTTTGCCCTCTAATTCAGGTAACCGTGAGGATACAGGTGAACCCCCAAGCATCCTCAATGACTCTCAGAGAGCTAAAGACCAACCTTCAGAGTGTCAATGACCAGATGATTTCAAAAATATAAATACTTTCATTCCCCACCATTCAGTCAGAACTGAAGGAGCTTCTTGGATGAGAAGTGAAACATCTTCAAGGAAAAAACCCAAGAAAGTTCAAGTTCAAGGGGGGAAAAAAACCAAGAAAGCCCTTTGAAAATCATCTTTGGGACAGGTAGTCAGACATACCTGTTTCTGTTCCTGACTCTTATAAAGACTCCTATGAATAAAAGATGAGTTGAGAGATAGATTGTGTCTTTAGGATTGTATATGCGGACGTCACTTGATATCATATAGACCGCTTGAAACTCTTGCTTTGGTGGATGGGGAGGCTTGTTACCATTGCAATTTTTATATCACAAGTACCCCTTTCATAATAACCGGTACAAAGTAAATAATTATTTCCTCCTTTAGAGATGGGAAGTGAAGGTCAACAGGACTCTATGAATTATTTATATATCCTCTAATCCATCCAATGCCACAGGGCTTGTATACTTCGGGTAGTTAAGTGCTACATGTTCTGGGTTACTCGTACCATTTGCCAACCTTTTCTCACCGTCTCAGGATCCTTGGTTTATTGTTTACTCTGTTTTGGGCGTTCTCTGGAGCATCCTCCGTACAAAATTTCAAGACTACCGAAGAGAAAATGAATGGCTTCGATGGGAGTGAAACCAAACTTACAATGCTTTTCTTGCTCCTATTGCTTTAGGGTTCATTAAAAAAAGAGTTCCCCCCCAATGTTGGAGGCAGTGATGTCTGTTACTTCTGCCACAAGCGGGTTTATGTGATGGAGAGGCTCAGCGCCGAAGGCAAATTCTTCCACCGCAGCTGCTTTAAATGTGAATACTGCGCCACCACTCTGCGCTTGTCCTCCTATGCCTACGATTTGGTAGACGGTAAGTGACATTGTCTTTGAAGTTGAATTTGCCTTTGTCTTCTGGGGCTGCACATCTGCAGAAATAAATCTCGGGATATGTCCTTAGAGGAAGGAAGAAGGAGGTCATTGCATGTTGCTTAGGTCATTTTTAATCTAAAAAGGCTGAGGTGCAAAAAAACCCAAAACTGATGGTAAATGGCAATATCTGAAACTTCATTGAATTAGAATTATTTTAATTAATTTGAGCGATTGGTTTCTACAGGAGCTCACGGCTGTTTACTTGAAATCTTGTTTCCTTTTATTCCCCCATCCCCCAAGAAAAGCAGCCTATCAAGTGAGTTAGAAAAAAAAAGTGTGAGACCTACAGTCTTCCAGTGAGTCCCAAAGGCTAAGAGTAAAATTAACATGGAAGTCCTTGGTGTTAGTCCACCATCTTAACTACAGGGCTCACATCCAACCTAGAGGAAGTCCCTGACTGATAGTCAATCCATGACTCTTAACTACAGAAATCACAACCTTCGTCTACGATCTTAACAACAGGGTTCACAAGGAACTTCGATGAGATCGTGATTTCTAAAAAATCTGATTGGGTTTGCAAAGATAGGTTGGAATACCATTAAAAATCATTTTGGGGTTTATAACCCACTTTGCCTAGGCCAGTGAACTGTGTGGTGGTTTAGGTAAGGTAGGAGTGAATTTTAGCAGCATTTTTGCTTTACCTCCACAAGCCACAGAGAATGGATGGAGTCTTTGATAACTGTGATATATAGATTAAAATTTAGTTATTCAAGTAGTAGGTTTGTTTCTTTCCCAACCATAACCCTAATGAAATTATTAGTTGTATGCATGGAGGGAGGAATTCACAAGTTTAATTATTATTTTAATGGGTTGAATTACTACAAAATTCAAAATTTAGCTATTTTAAATAATGTTAACTATAGATTGTAAAATTGAAATAAATACCAGAAAATGCTTATGTAGATAACTTATGCTGAACTATAAACTGGACCAACTTGAAGGAGACTCAGGTCTGTGTTCAGCTGTGGAAGCTCTGTGGGGGACTTGGGGCCAGTTCTTCTCTGTAGTCCAGGAGCCAGACAGGTGCTGGATTACAGTTGGGGAAACCAAGGTTCTAGTCCTTCCTCAACCATAGGAGTCTTTGAGCAACTCCCTTTTTCAGCAAAAGAGCCAGGTTGATAGAATAATGAAGGTTTTTTGATAGAGGATGGGAGCTCCCAAGTTCTAATCAATCTTCCCCATGACAATACTCTGGGAGACTTTGGATGAGTCCCTTTTTCTCAGCTCAACCTATCTCATATTGTTGTTGTTATGGGAAAAATTGGAGGAGGAGGTGGTATTATGTATATCACCTTGAACTCTTGACATAGTACAAATCTTACACATATTAATATCAAGGTTTATATTAAAGCTAGATTTAATATAGACTTAGATATACTAACTTTTTACAAAAGCACCAAGTGAGACTACTCAGTTGCTTTTACAATGAACAACCGTTACTGCTATCTCTTACAGAAAGGAGGATTTAGTTTTAACAATAAAAGAATAGGTACTTTTAAATCTCAGCTGTAGGTTTTCAACAAGACTAAATATTTCATAGAGAAGGATACATACATATGATTCAACTCCTAATTGATGGTATTGTTGTGGAAAACATTGCTTAATAATTAGCAAGGCTGGTTATATTTTACAATTTACAATAATACTATTTCAGTGCTGAGACTGTAGATCTTTGCAGCCACATATTAATTAGATTTCTCTTGAGAGATCCTATCAGTTGCTAACAAAGACATTCCCTGAGGAGAGGAATGGCCAGTTTCTCAACTTTTTAAGATCTTTGTTATTAGACTGCTGTAACTTTCCATAAGGAAGTGTCCTCAGAGACTTTTCAGAAGATTTAGTGGATCATCAGAGGTTCTTGTACCACTGACTTCAGGAGCAGATCTATGGCTGTTAGAATAGAATATATTAGACAAATATTTAAAATGTATAGTTGGAAACCACCTGCCTTGGCATGACACATTCCAACAGTTTTCCCCATTCTTCATCCCCCAAAATTTCCCAGAGTTGCTTGCAAGCTGTAGCCTGTTTGGAGTTAATGCCTAGCCCTTCTGTTTTTGCATTCATTTTCTAACAGTTTTTCTGCCAGATTTTCATGTGATACAGCCTTTGTTCCTTAACAGTGGCGCTTTGTTTGGGATAACATACAAGTTTCTCTGGGATGCTCGGGTGGCTAACTGGGTGTTGGTTTATAGATGTCAGGGAAATGTAGGAACATTGATTATTTTTCAGGCTGGAATAAGTTAATTTAAATTCAAACTTACATAGTTGACATGACAAAGTAGACATGATACAAGGAAATTCCTGCCCTGCAAGTTTTAAACAGTTGTGGTGTTCGTCTATTATCTTATTGTTTTCCTTGATCTGTTTGTAGGAAAATTCTACTGCAAACCTCACTACTGTTACAGACTTTCAGGTTATGCCCAGAGGAAGAGACCAGCAGTGGGTCCATTATCAGGGAAGGTAAGATGTAGTTTTATTTTTTAATAAGAATTGCTTCTTGGTATTAAAAATGGCTTTGAGTCACTTGTAAGGGGAGGTTTAATTTTAAAACTTGCAGAACTGTAAAATGTAAAATCATACTTTTCTATAGTCAAAATTGAAAATATTGTATAGAATCATAAAAATACTCTTCATTATTTCCCGTATGTTCAATTATTTCACAAAGGAGGGGATTTTTTTCAATCAGTTGATTCAAAATCTTCAAGGCTGGCTATTAATGAGTATGTCCTCCAAATATTTTGGGCACTATCTTTCAATGTGAGGCAAAATGGGTCACGGAAAGGTTTTATGGAAACTATAAGCCAATATATGTGGAAGACATCGGGGTCTATACCCCAATCCAGAATGCAGATGAATGAGATGAAGGGATAAATTAAAACAGTCACATGTTCATTTTATCTCTATGGTTGACTTTATATTCTTTCTTTGCATGTAAAACTTTGCATAACATCAAATGGCCAAATCTGCATCTATAAATCCATGTTTTAGTTTATTTGTTTTTGTATAATATATAATATACATATTCACATACACATACACATTATGTATGTATGTATATTCACCAGAAATTTAAGGGACACCTACCCTTTTAGCCTTCTGGAAGGTAATGAAGACCTGGCTGTTTCCATCATGACTGGGCTAGGGTGGGGTTGAATCAGGGAGTCAATACCGATAGTATGATTGGTCTGACACCTGATGAAAAGAGTTTATATTTTAATCTTTTTGTATTGGTTGCTATGAACTGTCTAGGATCCCTATGTAAGATAGGGATAATTTAAATAAACTTTATTTAATTTAAATCAGTTAAATAAATTTAATTTAATTTAAATCAATTAAATCAATTTTATTTAATTTAAATCAATTAAATTAAATTTAAATAAATAAGGAAATAAGTGGTCATGTTTATCTGTTATCTAGGGAGTATTGATGATGAAGGGAAGCATGAATTATGGATGGCCAACTTCCAGTTCACGACTGGTTTCACCCCTGACATTTTGCCAGTAGACTTTGTTAGCCATTCACCATCTGATTCACCATCTGTCATAAATTAGCTTTGCTGATGGATGGGGGGAAGGGGGTTAAGAAACTGACCAGATGGATTTGTTTGCATTTCTGCACTGATGCACCTCTAAATAATTGGTTGTTGTCATTCTGATATCTTTGGATCAAACAGCAGCTTATGATCAGTTTTGTCCTCTGTCAGAAACAGCCTGACTCCCAACAATCCATTGAACATGGATGGGAGTGAGGGAAGTAGGTGTAAAGACAAGAGTGTGTAGAAAGAAAGGAATATCAGAAGGTGATGAATGAGCTGGAGAAAGCTGAAGCAGTTGTGGGGTTAACGAACAGTCTTCAACTGTACATTTTATTTCAATTTCATTGAAAAAAACCTCCCCACATAGCCAGCAGAGGAGAATATGTTGAAAATCAGTTCTCAGTCCTGTAAAGCTATCTTTGTTTTGAAGGAATTAAAAATAGCATAATGAATCAAATCATGATTAAGTCAGATCTCAGCAGCTCACCATCGCAAACATGTTTAGCTTTTTAAGCAAAACAATGGTCACCCTTTGTTCATTTGCATTTGCATCTTCCTTTACCTACACTTAACGTTCTCTATTTCCTTACCTATCCCTCCCACTCCAGGAAAACAAAGGGACTGTACAGGACAACATGGCGGCTGATGGTTCAGGGCGTGCCAATTCCATCTCAGCCTCATCAGAGAAGACCCCAGGTAGCTCTGCTTCCTTGTTTGGCAAGATGGTGCGGTACTCGCTCTGTGCCTTTGACAGAGTTAGGGAGGCAAGCCAGCTGCTGCAGGGCATGGTTTCCTCCATTGGGTACCACATAGCCCAAAATCCTTTGGACTCCTTTTTCATGTGCCAGCTGGTAGCATTTGGAGTCCCCTTTCTCTATGTCCAGTCGGAGATCCTTGTGCAGATACTGGGAGAGTTTTTATCAGCACTAGGATATTAACCACAGCATTGTAACCCTGATTTGTCTGGGGAGACCCTGGGGGACCAAGATGTACATGGGGGAGGGGGGAAGGAGCAACGTATCTTGTAGTTTTAGAGACAAATCTCTTCAAAAATGACCTTTAAAAATATTGTTTTGAATCTGGTTCAGGTAAACACAGACAACCAGTTCAGCATTTCCTTATGGTGGGGTCCAGTTTTTTCAACAAAAAAAAATGATCTGTGAAATGGGTAACTGATGAATTATTTATGATGCTTGAAAAGGCTTGGAATATGGCTTCATTGATTAAATTTCTGTGTTTACCCAAACTCTTGACTGCTGTATGTTTCCCCTGTATCCCCTGACTCTCACTAATGTGGTATCTGAATAGCAAAACATCAAAACCTCACCAATAATCCTCCTTGATTTCTCTGACAGCTAAGAGGGCCCCATAGCCTTTAACTCTAGTGGGCTCTGAGGTTGACAAGCTCTGATCTCCTCATCCTAAATATGGAGGCTTTCTGGTGGTTCAGGAATGGGCTGTCAAGTCAAAGTGCTATTGAGAGGATTCTGCTTGACCTTGAAGTTGATGCTTCCTTCAAGGAAGCGTCTTGTGCCAAAAACATTCATGTGACTAGGCTGTTCTTTTGGACCATTGGTAACCAAACTGGAAGGAAACCTGAAGGAAAATCAGAATGGATTTAGTTCTGGGTCTGGAAAACTGTGGGCCTATTTAGTTTATGGCCAATATTTGGGAACGAACCCATGATGGTTTGGCCTTCGAATAAATATTTAAAATGCATGAAAAAAATTATAATTGCATGACTTGATCCTTGGGGTTTTCCATTAATGTAATTGCTTTAGTTGCTGTCACAGAGTGAATCCCCTAAAAGGAATCGAAACCTAGTAATCCAGACAAATATCGAACAGGAAAGTTTAATTTAATTTTGTTATTTGATAGGACAATTTAGGTAATTTGCAAGTGGAACAAATTGCATATGAACCAGATTTCCAATAATTCTAGGGAGCGTCTGACTTATTTTTCTCAGTTTAATTTGAGTTAATGTCTGGTGTGGATTCTTCAGAAGGTACTTAACCTGTTAATTCCTGTTTCCTGCTGGTCAGGAGAGAAAATTGGCACCTCATGTTTCATGACTGCCTACTAGGTAGAGTGGCATTTCAGTAGTGAGTGACAAGTATAGGAAATCAATATATATGCTACATTAAGCAACTAGATAGTACTTTATATATTTATAGTGTGACTTCAGGGGTCAAATAGCTATTTTGCTAATATGTGTGTTTTTACGTGTTTGAATTATAGAAGTAATATTTTAACCATCCTACTAAATTGATTATAGCAATAATTAAAGCATGAATTAATCCTGTGCTTTGTGGTATAAATGCTTTATGGCTTTTGGTGATAGTTAAAGTTATTTCAAATCATCACATACCAGTGTGGACTCAGAGCTGAGGAAATGTTGAATTTTATCTAGGTCAGACTGGACATCTTTGGATTTTTCAGACCTAGCTTGCTTCCAAAAACAGGTCTTGCAAAGTCTTTGTGCAAATTCTGAATTGCTACCAAGAATAAAGAGAGTGGATTCTTTTTAACTGCCAATGAGAGAAACTGAAATTAAAGCAAATTGGCATTTTGAAGTGTGCAAATTATTCCTGATTGGTCAAGAAAAAGTGGCAGGGGGATTACTAATATATTAGAAATGCTGGACAAACTCTGTATCAATCTATGTTTGTGGTCAGTTGTCCATTCGAGGCTCTTGGTTCAGAGTGGGCAAGGGCATGAGAGTGGTGTGCTGCTTTTTTTTGCTGTTGCATGTTTCAAGAAAGTTAGCATTCAATGTTTGCTTGATTACTATGAAATTTTAAATCTCTACTCTCCCTTGTCTATTAGCTAACTTGGGTAGCAGAGAAGAGAATCTTACTGTAGCCAGGCTTGTGGTTTAATAGATAAAATAGGTACTTCCTGTAAGTTGTTATTAGTTTTCCTGGCACATGTGTCCCTTCCACTTTATGGAATGTGTGATTGTCATTAGAATATAATTCTAGATCAAAGACATCATTCACCGAACTTAAAAAAACACATTTAGTACAGCTATTAAAGCAGGCCACATTTCCTCTTCATGGCTGCTTCTGATTTACAAAGGCCCCTGAAATTGTTTTCCGTGAATTGCTTTTGATGTTCCTGCTATCTGGAGACATTTTTTGGAAATTGACTGTCAAAAGGTTGCAGTCCTCTCTGCTGATCCAAGAGTGATGAAAGTCACAACTGGTGCTTTCTATACTTGAACTCTGACATACTTATTGCAGTCCTTGTATTAAACTTTTCTTTGTACTTTTTTCCCCTGAGACTCTTGTGCCAAATAACTGCTTTACTTTTGCCTATATGATACAGTTGCTGCTGCCAATTAAAGCTATGAGAGTCCTTGCTTTTCAGTGGTTATCTCCTGTAACAGTTGCCTGTCTTGTTTTTTTTTTTTTTTTTGGATTGTTTTACAGTGAGTGTTAATTTTTTAAATTTGTATTTTTAAATACAAAAATGTTATTCATTGTTTGTAAAATGTTCTAAAATATGTTGATTGTCCCATGAGTCTAGTTCAGTTTTCCCACCCTGATGTCTTCTAGCTGTATCTTCCAGAACAAGTCTCAAAATTTGGCAACTTTAAGATTTGTGGACTTCAATTCCCAGAATTCCCCAGCCAGCAACTGAAATCCACAACCCTTAAAGTTGCCAAGTTTGGAGATCCCTGTGGTAAAACTGCAAGTCAATATGGCCAGTGATGAACCAGCACATCTGGAAAACATCAGATTGAGGGAAGCATATTTTAGGGGCATGGGACAGTCTCATAGATCTAATAAACGACAATTTTCTTTTGATGAAAAACCTGAATTGTTACCTGCGCAATCATATCTCCGATGATTTAAAAAAAACCACAAGAACATTTACATTATATTTTGAAACAAATATGCTTACTAGTGAGATGGAAGTTAAGTAGTTGGTTCCTTTTGGATTAAGAAATTAAGATATTGTTCAAGAAATTATGATCTTTCCCAGACTGGTGCCATGAGATTAATTAAACTACCTCTCTTTGGTTTCCAAGTACTTCAGTTATTAGTTATTCTGGCTGGTGATGATGGGAGATACAATTCAGTCGTCTGGAGGGCACTAGAGAAGAAGTCTACCCAGCACTGACCAAGATACTTGAGTTACTAGAAAATTAATTTTTACATTCATAGATTATGGTCTGGATATATATTTAATCAAATAATGAAGGCAGTGTTCTAAGTGGAGATTTTATCAAATGGCATACAGACTGCATATGGGGGGGGGGTCTGCTTTTTGATATTCTTCAGTGAACATTGATTGGATTCCTAATGGTTGTTAGGGATTTGCTGAAGAATAGAAAAGGGATAGAATGCTAGAGTGGGTGAAAGGAGTCTAGTTTTATCTGTCTGTTGTAGAACGAAATTCTAGATAATTCACCAAAATGGTCACAGATGGTTCCTAAACTCACATGGTTTAAACAAACCAAACTTAAGTTTCTACAAACAAATTGATTAATCCAGTGTATACACATAGAATTGAATAAGGTTTCTGATGAGAGGCAGTTAAATATTGTTGATGGTATACAAGTTGGTATACAAGTTTAATAAATTACTAGATTCACAGTCTAAGACTAGTGAAAATTAATAATTCAAGTCCCAATTGAGGAGCTCAGAATTATTAAGATAGCATCTAAGGATAAAGGCAAGTCCAAGCAGGGTGGGTTTTTTGTAAAATTAGGGTGTTCAGATCTGATACATTTAATATTTCCATATACCAAGCAAATCCTTTAGGTATTATGATCATTAATTTAGCTCACTGCTAAAACTTGATAATAGTATTTTTATAGCAAGATAGCTATAATAAGGAATTAATGACACATGCTCCATGCACTATATGCACATATATAGTAAATGGTATTTACAAATTATATCTCTTTCTTAAAGGCAAGAGGTTTTGATTTAAAAGTATTTTTTTAAACTACTGTACATGATTTTTGTGTGCAGGTAATTCAATATACTAAACTTAGGTTTGGTTAATTTAAGCTTTTCACCAAGGATTAATTGACTATGTTTCTAACTTAAATCAATTGCCAACTTTAAGTACAAGATAAAGCTACATACAACACTGTTTTGTCATACAATACAAATAGACCTCTCTAGGACCTGCATTGCTGACCTGAAATTAACATGCCCAAAAACTCAACTTGAAACATTATTTGTCCAGCTTCAATGTTTGTATTAGTGACACCAGTTTTACATTAATGTAGCACATATTTCACCCAATTGACCATTAAATTAGTAAATATTTGGAATATCCAGAGCACTTTTGTATAGGTGAGAAACCCTTTAGAATATCTATATATTTTTTCTTATTGTACCTGGCCAAGGCACTACAGTATAAGAGAATTTCAACTCTGTCATGAAACAATATATTTTTACTATCTCCACTGCTGCTGTACAGTATGTCAAACTGCTAAATTAATCCTTCCTAAAATGTTTCCCTTATATAGCAAATTACTTTGGAAACCTTATAAGTCATCAAAATTTATACTGTGGACTCCGAACATACAAGACTGAGACAAGGTGTTTTTTATTATTTTCCTTGGCAACTGGATAAAATAGTGGCACTCAAACTATCATGTTAGATTAAGTGACATATCAAAGTTGGAAACAGGCCAATCACACCCAAGAGATTTTAGCTATTTGGTATATGAAAAC